TCCACGCTCTATATCATGTTAATAAAATGTATGAAACAACAAGACAACATTAAAATGATAACAACACTAATGAGTCCGACAACACGTACTTATCACTGTCAAGAAATCTAGAGATGATGATCAACAATATGCATTATCGTCATTTGCCAATATCATACCTCAAGTCACCAAAATCCATTCCGCTGAGCTCAACATCTCGAAAGCCGGCGGAGGGTAATTGCTCATGTTCAATGAGTTTCTTAGTGTGGCAAGTGCTTGGATCTTTCTGGAATTGATTGGTATGAGCTATGTATACCACCTCTTCTCTCATTGCTGCTTGGAGTATGGGGCCTGATATTTTGACTCTGGTTTGGGGGAGGGGGAGGGGGTGGATTTGATGGATTTGTTGAGTACCTATCTAGAGTAAAGAAGAGGAGAGGAAAGGACAGGAAAGGAAATCAAAGAGATAATTTATATTCATGATTTATGGTTGATATTATATATGACAACCATCTCTCAGATATTTATAAATTATACATACATCTATATCTAGGTACTTAGATATATAAAGAAATGTAATAGTTGTTGAGGGGGTACTTGGTTTATATAAAGTTTGATAGGGTTTAGGTTTCTGGAGTTTCTGGGGTTTCTGGGGTTTGAGGGGGATGGTAAGAATGGATATGGCAAGAAGGGGGTGGTAAGAAGGGGGTGGTAAGAAGGGGGTGGTAAGAAGGGGGTGGTAAGAAGGGGGTGGTAAGAATAGGATGATGAGGATGAGATGGGATGGGTGTTTGGGGGTATAGATTTGTAGTTTGTAGTTTGTAGTTTGTAGTTTGTGAGGAGGGAAGGGAAGGGATGCTTGTTTTGGAGAAAATGAAATGAAGGTGGATATGGAGAAAGATGTAGATATAAAAGCTGCGAGAATTGTCGCTTTTGGTTTTCTGTCCACACAAGGTGGTTCAGGTATATTGAAGCGTTGGCTGTCGAGAGGTATTGGTGGATGGATAGGGGTCATACATAGACTTGGTGTAGAGGAAAGTGAGATTGTGTTTTTTGTGTCATTGGTTTTACTTGGGTTTGATTTTCGTCTGATGGTGGGGTTTTATCAGCTACGGTATATTTTGTTGCTGTTATATATTGATACTGCGACCTCAATTCTTCCTCACAAACTAGGTCCAAAGTCCACGAAATACATAATCGAATCTCAGCTAGTCTTGTTGATACCAAGCACGACTGGACGATATTCCTAGAATCGAAAAGTTCCTTCCAGGAACATATAGCGACTCTGTAGCATGTTTGGTTGCGATGATTGATTGGTATGGAAGGGATAATCGCGACTATCAGGAACACTTTTCAGTAGACTATTTATAGGAAATCACATACTGCGAAAATGTGCAGATTAGTAAGGAAGTATTATTTGATCTATATGGACTGGCTGGTATAAATATGGGTAGCTAGTCCTGTAAGTAGAATATGCAATTCATATGGAACCCGAAAAAATGAACTCGGAGGAGTCGATGCTATTTTTCCTTCAGAGAAGAAGAGGATTTGCCATGTCTGTAAACTCAATGAGTTGTACTATTTGCAAGGACTGGAATTTTTCTGGAAAAGAGAGGCTTAGAAGGAGAAATCGCTGTAGTTGTAGAAAGAGAGCATGAATTTTCACACTTGTGATTTTTAGATCAGATGATGGTGGATTCTCGTTGGTAGAATACTCTCTTTTATGCTAATTGTCGGTAATGACTTCATTGTCATTGAGGTCTTTTACATGTGTGTTGAAAGGTATGAGACGATAGCAAAAATTAATGCGAGAATTTCGTTTAATCTTCCATGATTATATCCAAATTGTGTGGAAATTATCTCTGGGTTTCTGAATGGGACCACCAGTGGACAGAACTCAGTGCTGACACATGAACTGCCGTTTCAACAGTAGCCGAATTAATTGGAGTCGATTGTCTAGATCTGGATAACTCTTGAATAGATAGCAAGTGATGGTGTGATTCTGGAATCTAGATTCTGTGAAGGGAAATTCACTATTTTGCTTTGATCTACTGCTTGATATTTATCCACAATATCGCTTATTTACCCCCCTTCTCCTCCCTAACAAACCAGCAAGTCCCTCGGTATATCTTTAGGCTGAGCTATTCCAGTGAATCCTAAGCCCTTCAACTCAACCAAACTATCAATCCATCTATCAACATAAGTACCTCTCCATATCTCTCTTACTCAACTCTAGGCGGAATCGGAAAGCAAATGACATTTTCACAGGGCTACCTTGGTAGAACTGTCTTGCAATTGGATTATGCGTTTCGCTATCAGTTTGATGAAAACGTTCTTATCAGATCTGGAGGTTTCCTGCATGTCTATCTGGCTGATATTTAGTTTGACTATTATGAAAAATTGAGCGAGATATGATGAGACGCATTTTTGTTGTCGTTTCATGAAGATCCGTTTTGTTATCGGTGAGTATAATTGCTGTTATATCCTCTCTTGAGATGTGATGTGCGAAAAAATCTCCTCTCTATTCAATAACGAAGAAAGTGAGATCCAAATCAACTATACAGAAACGGAGAATCTGTCTTACAGAGATACTAGCACGAGGTTTCTTTTTCCGCGCTTGATTCCTGCCGAACATTCTCTAGGAAGGTGGACGATCTATATATAGCCCGCCTATAACTCCATAATAGCGGGTTATAGCGTAGATCCTAGAGTATCTCTCGATCCACTGGATGAACGGCGAATATCACAGCAAAAGCCCCCACAGGCCAGTATATCACATTGAACCTTCAAGAATAGTGAATAGCACCCTTGAATTTGCTCATTCTTCAAAATTCACACTTCATACTACATAAATAGACACAAAGAGTCTTGAGAATCAACTACAAGAACATCAACCTGATACAGCTCGCTACCGAGAAAAGCCTGGTTCGTGAGTAGCGTATAGATGGCTCGATAGAAATTTTTGGCTCATATCATGAAATGATCCTGGGAAGATAGGATATTTTCAATAACATTTCATATTCGATAATCGCGCTGTTGAAATATCAGCGAAGTATTTTTTCACTGTCAAAACATTTCACCGCCGACACTCAAAACCCCAGATTCGATTTTCCTCCTACTCCCAATGATCTTTCACTTATAGATTCGTAACAAAACGTAATCAAAATTGTGATAAGAGAGTGGACTCGAATGTTGTCATGCTTCATAATCTTTCCTCAACTTTTTTCCATGCGTCTTTCTTACAGTTTATGGATTACCTATGAAGGGATACGGGGGTTTATATACTCTCTTCTGTTGTCCTCGTTACCATGGAACTATTCATACGCATTGATCAAGAACAAGGAAGGCTAAGAAGGATCTGTTATTCGTAGAACATCCATGGTATGAAAACGACAAGATTAGAGTGAATCTTGAGTTCACGTCTCAAAGCTCAGATTCTTTGTTCGTAGATAGGTATATAATTCACATAATCTCTTTCCAAAAGCATGATGAGAGATTCGAAAAGAACAAAATACCGACAACCTATGGAGAAGGTAACAGTCGAAATAGCGCTTCAGAATTGTGTTTCTTTCATTTCCCATTTATTTATGATACGTGGGATGGCAAGGTCGTGGGCGAGGTTGGGAATTTAAGTATAGTAATAATGATATGACTGGATGAGTTGACAATGAAGAGATACTGTTTACCGCTGTCGTTAGATATATCTCATCGCTATAAAAAAGTGAGACGAAAGTAAGCCCGACCATCATTTACCCCCTGGAAAGTATTCCAAATTCTCATCCAAATCGAAGGAAATATTACTCAACAATATAACACTAGCAAGCATTTTCTCCCAAATATGCGAATTTGATCGTCTCATTTGAGAGGGGAACTAGGTAGACAGAGTGCAATATATATGACCAAACAAAAACTTCTGTCCGCGTGATTTCTCTTACGCCGCTTTTTAACTTTATTTCAGTCGAAGACGACTTGGATAATTCACTCCCCTTAACCTAGCAAATCATTTTCAAAATGACTGTCAACAATTGAGCGTATTCACCTAAATTGTTCTCTATTCTACGCACAGGTCTGGCGTGTCAACTTCGATGCTGGAGTTGTGGATACTAGCATACTAAGAACAAGCTCGGTATATAAGTACCCATAATATCTCATTTACGCTCATATTCATGGCGATTTGACAACTGTGAGTTTAAATATAAGAACTGGCACTACAGTATGTTTGCCATAGAGATCTAGCTTTAGATTTATGACCGTGACCTATGGGAGAAGAGAGAGAGAGAGAGAGAGCGAGAATGCAAGGTTGTGACTTTAAGACTTTCGATCCCCTATTGTCGTTGCCGAACAATTGGAATTCAACTATTACTGTCAAAGATCTCTAGTCATCAGATTGCAATCTTTCACATCAAAATGCACACACTAGCATAAGCAAATCAACCAAGCTCTCCCCTCACATCGAAACCTTTCTCTCAAAAACTCTCTCTCAGCAGAAATTGCAATACACACAGCCCGTCCCAATCCAAAAAGATACTTTCCACTCGTAGTCGATATCGATAGCCCTAAACCCTCCATTTTTGTAATTGATGTTAAATTTTGAAAATTTTCCTCGAAGGAAAGTCCTCTTTATAGCTACTATCACCCTTAAACATTTGAATATGGATACGGATAAAACTCACGTGCACTTGCAAGTCACTGCGTATCCACATCCCCAGATCTCGCTTCTGGATTTAAGATACAGAATTTTGGCCTGTTCTGTACCTATATAGACACTTGAGTTTCCTTCCCTTCAACTTTCATAAATGCTACCCTATATACTCAAGAGTCCCGGGTCTAGGGCTGAGCGTATATGATATTGAACACTGCACTCTTTGCGAGAGGTTGACATGAGAAGAAGATAGACTTAATGATACAAATAGATAATCTTACGAGCAGAAGAAAAGAAAAATAAGAAAAAGAAGGATTCCATGATTGCTGATCTTATCTTTTTCATCCTTGCTATTAGCACAACGTTGTGATATCTAGCGATGATGAAAATCTTAACGACATCACTTATCATCATCGGGTACCTAATCATTTTAACCCCCTCCCCTTTAACAAAATTCATCCAGTCAGCCTAGTTTCAACTAAGTTATTATGAACCAATACTAAACAGATGTATAGGAAGAAGATAATAATCAAATTCAGTACAATTGAGACAGGAGGGGAAGAGGAAGAGGAAGAGGAAGAGGAAGAGGAAGAGGAAGAGGAAGAGGAAGAGGAAGAGGAAGAGGAAGAGGAAGAGGAAGAGGAAGAGGAAGAGGAAGAGTATGAAAATGAAGATGGGGGGCGAAAGTGATTAAAGGGTAGGATACGAAACAAGCATGCATCTAGTCCTTGGTGAGAATAGGGGAGGGAGTTGTGAGATATTGTGTATATGTACATAGGTATCTATTGACCATCGCTATCTGAAACACAAATAATACATTGTGATTTATTATGATTTGTTACATTTGCTATTATGATTGTTACTATTGGTACTTTTATTTATGTATTTTGGTTGGTTTTCTCTTGTTTCTGTTGCTATCATTATCACCGTCATCATCACCATCACCATCATCCTCATTACCATCATCCTCATTACCATCTCCCTCTCCCCTCCCAACCCCAAACCCAAACCCAAACCCACACACAACCACCACCACCTACGCCAAACTCTTCTCTCCAAAACTATAATCTTCAACTCGAAAGATACAAACACAAACACAAACACAAACACAAACACAAACAATCAATAACCAATACTCTATATAGATATATACATATACCTAGATCTACACATGAAGAAACCCCCAAAACTAAAGAATAACCAAGAAAGTCTCCCTTCCAATTCCAAACCATCATTCAATTCGATTCTATCCCATTCCAGACCCTCATCTCAAAACTCAAAATTCAAACTCAATTCCTCCGAGATTCCCGATTTCATATCTGGCACGTCATTTATTATCACCTAATTTTCTCTTCTTTACTTGCACCCTTTGCTCTGCTCTGCTCTTGTACCAAGAATCAGAATCAAAATCTCCAATCCGTATGAAAGAGGAATCAGCTATGTATTTCACATTCATATTCACATTCACACATCCACAATCCACAATCCCAAGATCTTCAAATCTCATTGATTATTCATATTCATTCCCATTTCTTTAATCTTAATCCTCAAATGAGCGAAATTCAACTATAGATTTATTCCATCTCATCTCATTTCATCTTGAAAAAACCACGAGACGAAAGAAAATCTATCTATTTCTAGACTTTTGTCGATTTCTCGTGTATGTATGCATGTATGTAAGTGCCAGTGTGTGACAAAGTGACAATGTGGCTATATGTAACCCAAAGCAAAGAAAACTCCATTCCATTCCATTCCATCCCATCCATAATCATGTGTCATATCAATTCATGACGATTATGAAGATCCCATTCAAGTCAAGTCAAGTCGAGTCAGTGAGTCTGGCAACTAACCGCTCGTATCATGATGTCATAGTAACATATCCATATCCATATCCATCCGTTCATACCAGTATCCATATCCATCCATCCCATAACCGTATCCATAACCCATATTCATATCATAGCCCATCATCATCATCGTCATCCAAACATCTACTCCTTAACTCGACCCAAAACCTTCTTCCCGGGTTGAAAGCCACTCTTCGCCTTCTCTGTAATGGAACCCGCAGAGTTTGTTTTTTGCAAAGCTAAGCGTGCCATTTCACCCTGATCTTGATCGGCGGGTTGAGAGAGACGACGTGTGCGTTCTACGCGGTAGGTTTTGGCGGGGAGATGCATGGATGCGAGCGCGGCGGCGAGGCCGAGTGCTGAGGCTAGAGGGAGTGTTAGTTTTGGGGTTTGAGGGAGGAGAGAGGAGAGAGGAGAGAGGAGAGAGGAGAGAGGTGATGAGGGCAGGGAGGGGGAGATAGAGGAGGATAGAGATGAAGATGAAGAGGATGTGTGTTGCTATAATAGTGATGATCCGTTGTCATGATATATGAGATAAAACCCATGAACATGAACAAAGCGACACAACAACACAACAAGACACCAACCCAGAACATCAAACCCTCACATCAAAACAATAAAATGGAAACTTACCACCAGCAGTAACAACTCCAGTAACAGCAACCATGATGAATGATTTATTATATGTGTGGTTTTGTAGATTCGGTGATTGATTGTGTTGTGATGTAATGTATTGGAGGCTTCAAGTGACGAAGTTGGAGTTGATGTTGATATCAAATTGATTGTGTAGTAAGGTATATGAAGTATTTATCGTATTGAATTTGATAAAATGAGTATTGATTGTATTGTAATGTATCGCGATGTAATGTTCTTGATGTAATGAAAAGATGAAGAAGAGAGCAAATATCCAAATCAAAGGAAGATACCTCCTCATAAGTACCTCCTCCCTTCTCAGCCCATACCATATCATATCATATCACACCACCCCAAACCTCCTGTTTCACGCCTGCGCATCTAACTGGTCCATGGTGCGGGGTAACACCAAGCCACTAACCCTCTTTGACCTTCGCTAATAACGCCGCAAATGCGTAATCTGGGGATTTATGCAGAATAGAGTGGAAAGGACCCAGTTATTTAGAAGAGGATATCCACTTAGCTTCGGGTGTTGAGGGAAGGATCTGGGGTAATTATGGGGATTGGCTGAGATGTCGTGTGAGATGATGTGTGATGTGGTGTGAGATGTTTGTTTTGGAGGGGATATTGGATTGGGTTGGATTGGTAATTAGACTTTGGATAGGGAGGAAATGGATGAGGGAATTTTATGATGGGATTGAGAAGGAGAGAAGGAGAGAAGGAGAGAAGGAGAGAAGGAGAGTTTGTAAAGGGTTTATTACTTTGCAGCTATATTTCGTAAGGTACATATACGAGGATATCTGTAACGTGATTTGGTGGATCATTGTCGAAGGGCATATTGGTTTATTAATACCTAGTATGTAGACATGTACTGTGTAAGGAAATGAAACTTGTTCTTTCGAGTCATGAATCATGAAGTGGTAGTTAGGGGGTTAATCACCTACCTAGATAAGTAAAGGTCGAGGGATTTAATCCAATAAGAAGAATATTTGTCGATACTTAATAGGTACATATATCCACGTTGCGATCTCATTGATATTCCAAAAATTATATCGAGTATATAAAGAGGTCCGATATTACATGATATTAAAGCACATATATTTAGTCCTTACCTAGTATTCAAACCCTCTCAACCATCAAAAACAGTCCACGAATATGGAGCCCCGCACACCCCCTTTCCTCACTTTTTGATCTCGTACCTACCTACAATCACACCCCCAGATCCCCCCCTCTCACTCTCTTTTCTTTCTATCCTTTTTTTCTTTCTCTTTTTATTACACTCTTAATATATCTAGTACTTCTTCCTTTCCTAAGTTTGCACCTACCACCCTAATTTCACTTACCCACCAACCTACCCATCCCGTCCATCCAACTATCCCATCGCCATCATTCCTCACCCCAATACCATAGTATCATCCCACAAATACACACCCCTCCCTCACTTACGTAAGGTAAAGCCCCAAACCAAACCAACCCAGCCCAAACCCAAACTCCGCACTGTCACTTCCAAGACCCAATACTTTTCGCTCACTTTTCGCCCAAACTCTATTCCTTCCTATCCAATAACCACAACGTATCACACAATACACACCCAGCTTAGACACACAGGATACACTACCAAGAGCGACCGAGTCCTGGGGATCGTCCATTTAAGGACGGGCGCGGCGGGGATATGTATAAATGAGGAAGGGGAGGGGGCTTAGGTAGAACTTGTAGTCTATTTGGTTTTCAGTTTGGGGGTGGGGATTGAGATTGTGAAGGGGGCTCCTGACTCGTGTCTCCAATCCAATTCGAATGCGAATATCAAAACCCACCAGTAAGTGAGTATCCACGAGTATCTTTTTGAGCTTAGGTCGATGATGAAATTTGTATATATATATATTTCATATAACGTGGTTTATTAGTGAACAGATCATATTAATAAATGAATCACTTATTTTATATATAAAACTTATTTATATATAATTATACACTTTTTTTATTTGTAAATATAATTTTCTGAAAATTTAATATAAAATATTTGAATATAAAAAAATTTTAAAAATCCAATTAATTTTAAGAAATTTGAATTTATAAAATTGTTATTATAAAAATAGTTTTTTTATAACGAAAATCGTGACAATTTCCTTTCTTTTTTAGAAGATAATGAAATTATTTTATAAAAATTAAACTAATAAAAAATTTATATTTTAATTATTTTTTAAAATCTTTTATTTAAAAAAATAATGATTGATTATTAAAATATTAATATTTTAAAAAACTTGATTTAAATAATTTTCGAAATGACTTATTTATTAATATAACCCGTTTATTAATAAACCACGTTAGTAATAATTCCGAATATTATTATTCTATATCTTGACATTTCAAATATCAGATTTATAATTAAAATAATAACAATCAGTATTACATAAAGATGATTTCTTTTTAATCTATTATATACTCTTTTAGGAAAAAAAAAGATTTAGTTATTAATCAGAATTCAAGAAGTCAATTGATATTTCTCTTCTTGTGTTGTTGTTATATTAAATTTTAATTTTAATTTCAATATTGAAGATAATTGAAAAATAACTATATTTCTTTTTTCTTTTTTCAATCTCTAAAAGATTATATATTAAATATAACATTCGCTCGTTTATAAACTTGAAAATAGTATAACAAAATAATCTTAGTTCGCTTCATTATATATTAATTAGAACATAGATACATAGAATGACAATATTCGGAATTAATATTATCTATCAAAATAATAGAATTTGTTTTAAAATATTTGGTTTTATATTTCCAAATTCAAATCAGAATAAAATTGCTTATTCTATAGTTTGATATAAATAGAAATATATAAAACTACTTTTTTTTAGATTAGATTCTAGCGTTTCAACATGTTAATATTACAAAATGTAAAAATAAATGTAAGAGTAATGTCTTCATCTTTCTATACAGCGGTATTAACTATTATACTATTACTTACACTGCGAAACAGTGACCGTTACATAACCAGGCCTCGGTAGGCTCGACGCCTTGAATAAAATATGTGACTCAACTTGAGAAGTCGACCATGGCTCCTTCCTACAAACTCGTTCAGCAGTGACGAGAACCATTTATCAATGATGGAGATGGACCAGATCATTACTGCTAGACAACATACCACGTGTGATAGTTTTGCAACGGTTCTCAACAGCCCAGAGATCGATAATTACCATACATTTATTGGCGTTGTATAATTCAGACCCCAACAAGACGTCTCAATTCCCTCGTCTACTATGAGCGTAGACTCGAAACTTGGACTTTTACGTTTCCTGCACGCGTTGTCAATATTCGGGTCCAGAAGAACCAAAGTTTTATCTGGTGATCAGTTGCGGCACAGTTCAACACCGTTTTAATAGAACCCTAGACTCGAATACGTGGTATTTGTACTGGGAAGATCGCCTCCTTCCCCGCATCTGCCCTCCGAAAGCTCTCTCACGCACACCAAAAACGATTTTGAAAGTGTGATATGTGTAAGGCATTTGTGGCAAGCTCTTATGTAAAGTTTGTGTTCCCCTCTCCTTCTCAATATAATCGGATAACCCATATTCTATATAGCTTCTGATCAGTTGGACCATGAGATTTTATTTCCCACAAACTCCTTCACACAGGTTGGAACACCTGTCGATTCAAATACCCGCTCCACAAAGGGATGCATCACAACCAATTTCACCATGACCTTTGGGAATGTTGGAATGGTGTCGTTGCAAATCGCCACCGATGCCCGTGACGAGTTTCCATGCCGTTTTAGCAGGTCTGACGTTGTGAATACGAGAATGCGTAGACGCCCAGTAGAAAGGAAATCTGAAGTCAGGATTAGCATAGTTTAGAAGAAACAAACAAAAATGGAAGCATACCATCTTGCTAGTGCCTCAGATATGAGTCCGCGTATTGTCTTGCCACGGAATCAGGTAGTCTGCCTCCATGCTTTGAAGTTCCATGAAGATCACTATCGCCGGAAAATAGATGTGAGTTTTGTATGCTGGTTGCCTTGACTGTGATACTCTACAGATACTCGATGCCACAATCACTTGTGAAATTACTCCATCGCTGCAGACTTTGAGGAACTGCTCGTGAGTCAGACCCTCAGCAGAGCTATCAGAGCCTATCTGTCCAGAAAATCTTGAGGTGAACTTGGTGTCAAACTCGATAAGCATACGTCCAATCTACACTAGTTCAGATTCATATGTCTTTAGAACGCTAGCTCCTGGTGGCTCAGGAGACAGGGAGTAGATCTCGTGGGCTAGTTTCCACGCGAGGTTTTAAGAATGCATCATGGAAGCGTTCGTCCCCTGCCCAGCATTTTGACTATGGGAATGACAGCCTTTCGCACGTTAGCAAGGGTTAACTTATTTGGAAGAGGCAGGACTCACCGTCTTCAACGATGAAAGCTCGACTCCGCTCGGCATCATCACTCATTGAAAAAGTAGGACTCACACGCTGCCCACCAATCGACCTCTGTATTCTTTCTAATGGAAATTGTGCAAGGCAAAAATAAACGTTGGGTTTGTGCTAGAATGAAATCGAGAGTGATTGCGACTCACTTGCCACGACTCTTTTCCCGTGCTACTGGGATACCGGGATCGGTGCTTTCCACAGGAATCTCGTCTTTGATCTGCGCGTGAAGTCGAGTTAAATACTGGTCAGTACTGATGTGCTCCCGGGGAATGATCATAACGTATCCCGCGGCAGAATGTATAGCACAGCGCTTTCGTACGTCAGGAAATGTTATGTCTACAACTAGATCGACGACAATCCAAATATGGTCTGGTTGTTTCGGCTATAGGCTCGAGTTCCATTGACCTCCAAACTTGCGAATGAGCACCATCAGTCCCAACCAGGTGTTTACTCCGAAGAGTTTTTTGTATTTTCTTCCTTTCGGCAGTTTCCTATTCGAGGTCAACCTTCAAAGGGTACTCAGCATCACTAGCTGCATCCAGAACGAAGTCTACAAGCCTTGTCGATCGCTGGATACATTCAGTTGAGTAGTGATTTAGATTCTCCTCTAAAATTCGCTCAATGCGACCTTGGTGAATTGTGACTTTGTGTTTGTATCGCAACCCCATCTGGCGCGAAGGAGGTACGCTCAACACTAGCCCGTTTTCCGGCTTAAGTATTGCTCTTTAGGCTCCAGAAAGTCACCTCTGACATATGACATCCATGGTTAAGTATTTCATCAACGATATCCAAGCTCTTGAGAACTTCCAAAGTCCGCGACTGGAGCCCGCCAGCTTGTCCGGTTATGAGTCTTAGCACATTAAAGTGTCTCCCAGACCGTATCTTGCGAGTAACAACGTGAGCACCATTCCAGCTGGCCTAACCTGCGGGTATATAATCAGTCAATCTGGCTACTAACCATGAGCATGGTGCTTACTCCAATAACAACAGCTTCGTATTTTTCATGGCCATAGCTCGACTGAATAGGTTGAGAGCTGATTGTAGGCAAAGGCAGCTCGCGGGAAGGCAAGGTTCGGAAGTCCCGAGATTCACGTGATTTCTATTGCGAAGATCCCTGTGGTGACAAAGTTAATATTCCGGACGAAGATAAATTCAATATAAATCCCTATACAAATTTCTATTTCATATATTACAATATTAATATATATATTTATTAATAATAAATAAAACTCTTCATTATTAATAAATCAAATCAATTCTTTTTACAATCCATTTATTATTGAATTTTGATTAAAAAAAAGAAAATAAGGATCTTAAAAAACCTTAAAGCTTTTAAGATTTTTGAATATTAGAATTAAGAGGAAGATAAATAGAAAGATATATGTATAAAAGGTTAAAAAGATAAATAAGAGTTAAAAAGAAAAAAAGGAATAAATATAAAAATTAAAAAATAGGTAGAAAGTATTAGCCAAAAATTTAAAAAGAAATAGAATTCTTTTAATAAGTTATATTATATAAAGAAAACCTACAAAAAAGCTTTCAAATAAAATCACAAGCTATATTATTATGCTATATAATATAGAATATATTATATAAACAAGAATATAATCTGATTTTAATTTATATATAAATAAATTTGAATTTAATAAATAAAAGTATAATAAAAAGATTAGTAATTCTTAATAAATTCTAATTGAAATATTTAAAAGAACTTTTCTATTCTTTTATTGAAATTTAATAAAAAATCAATTTAAAAAAAAAAAAAAAGAAAAAAAAAGAAGGAAAAATTGAAAAGTAAGTAAAATCTAGAAGCTTTTTATTTAATAAATAATTATTATCTCAAACCGAAATTTTCAATTAACCTTCCAAAATTCAAGAAATTTATTAAGAATTTATTAATTAAAATAAACTTTGTAAGATATAAAAACTTAGATTAATTATATTAATACTTTAAAAACAATTTATTCAATATATAATGAAGGTATTGTAGAATTTATGGCAATTACGAAAGGATCACTTCGTCAACCACGGATTCTGCCACCACAGGGGATGGCATCTTATCGACATGTGAACCGAATCGTAGGATGAGAGATGGTCTGGTGAGCGGTTTCAGAAATCTGAGTGTCACTAGCTAGTCAAAGTACAGTCAAGATGGGCTTTGACGAAAGAAGATTGAAGCAGCGCAAGCTAAATTGCTCATGAGGTTTGCGAGCTTTAAGTTTACAATGTACCAATTTCGGAGAGAATCTTTGAAGCCGAGCAAGATGTTCTCAGTTTTCGGGAAAGACTTCTTCGCCCCGAGATTGCTTCCGTGTAACGTGTAAATTCGTTCGGGGGCTATTCAAGTGACGTAGCAGCATTCGTGGGTCACGGATGATGCACCGGGGTGTGCACTTTCAACTTGTTTTGACTCCTCTTTTCTTCGCAAAGCTCCGACATCAACTTCAATGGTCAACTCCACATCGGGTAATTGCCCGGTATCTGTTATCAGACATTACCCGCAACGAAGTGTCTACTAGGTAAGCTTATGAGTTGAATCACGTCATCTCTTTAGATACCAGAAATCATGAAACGATTTGCACTACTCGTAGTAGTGAGAGTAAATGATCGACAGTACAGGAGTGTATAAAAGTGTATAATATGAAGCTGACGCCAACTTATGGAACCTGACTACCCATATACCAGCACGTGACCAGTTTTCGGCAAACTGCGGAGAACAGAACCACAACGAGGCTTTTGTTTAGTGGCGGGATACAGTACCGGTAGTAGGTAGAATGCACTTTCCGGCTTTAGCGTCTTTCAACGTTCCCCTTCCGAAACAAATACCTTACCCTTACCCCACGTGCCCCAGAAACTTCCCTGCGATGTGCAAGATGTCACCAGGATGTATTATTTACCCCAGTCTTGAAAAGACGCCATTGACAGTAAAAATATGCCGAATGCCGGAAGTGTGGATAGTTGAATTCCATCGGATCAGGGAAAGAGTATTGGAAATAGTGGACGCTTTCCGTTCATGGCTCGAACATAGTTGAGCTTGCACCTTCGACTGGGGCTTCCTGGTTGGCAATCACGTGGCAATACAATGTTTATATTAAAACAGATTGTCAAGTCACCGAAAATGTCCCCCAACCAACTTATTCAAGATGATCGATCCTTCAGATGTAGTCACCAATGGAATTCCTCAGATTATCAAAGATTCGGCAATTGAGAATCTTCGTCCACTCAGCGTAATCGTCATTGGAGCTGGCTTTTCTGGAATTTATTGCGGTGTTCGAATACCCGAGAGACTTCGCAATGTCAACCTAAAGATCTATGAGAGGAATGCTGGAGTGGGAGGAACATGGTACGAGAACAGATATCCAGGCTGTGCCTGCGATGTCCCATGTTAGTAAAGCATAAGGACGGCAATCTTTCCTCGAAACTAACAATTTCAAAAGCACACTCTTATCAGTATACTTTTGCTCCAAATCCAAATTGGAGTAGCTTTTATGCTCCTGCACCAGAAATTCGACAATATTTGGAAGATGTGGTCAGGAGGTTCTCGGTAGACAGGTTTATCAAATGTTCACACGAAGTTGTTGGTGCACAATGGGACGACAAAAAGGCAAAATGGTATGCACACACAAAGCAATAGGTATTCTCATAATGCTAATCTATGTCTAGGAAGGTCCAAGTTGAGGATATCGAAACAGGAGAGACTTTTACTGATGAGGCCGACATTGTAATCAGTGCCCGTGGTACCTTGAACAACATATCCTGGCCAACAATCGAAGGATTGTCTGACATCAAGATTCCTGTGATGCATTCTGCAGCCTGGGACATGAAGTATGTGCAAATCATATTTTAATCTAAACTCCGCTGACGTGTGATTCAGCTATGACTTTAAAAACAAACGAATTGGCGTCATAGGAGGTGGCAGCAGCGCGATACAGATCATTCCTTCGCTGCAGAAAGTGTCTGGAACACAGCTGAGTTGCTTTATCAGGAGCAAGACTTGGATCTCTAGGCCGTTTGGTGACGTTGCAATGGAGAGACTTGGAATTAAAGAAACATACTGTAAAGTGGCTTCAAAACATGACTAACCCACATACTAATAAGGCGTTCTAGTCTCCGCAGAGCAGAAAGCACGGTTTGCAAACGATCCAGAACACTATTTGGAGTTTCGGACAATGATAGCACGTGACGCAAATTCGGCACACGCTATAACATTAAAAGGCAGTAAATATCAAGAAACAGCGAGAGATGATTTCACAGAACTCATGAAAGAAAGACTTGCAAAAAAGCCAGAGATTTTTAAGGCGCTCCTACCATCATTCAGTGTAGGCTGTCGAAGACTAACGCCAGGACCTGGATATCTCGAAGCACTTGTAGAGGATAACGTCAATTTCATTGACACGCCTATTCTGAAAGCGAGCGCGAATGGTCTGATACTCAAGAATGGTGAAGAAAGGGAACTGGACGTCCTTGTCTGTGCAACAGGTTTTCAAGCATCCGCACCTCCTGTTTTTCCGGTCATTGGACGAAACGGCCAGTCCATGAAGGAGAAGTTTGAGCCATGGGCTGAGACTTATCTATCTCTGGCTACTGATGGATTTCCAAACTACTTTATGATGCTAGGGCCCAATGCTGCGATTGGGACTGGCTCATTGACGGCAATGATGGAGGTGACTGGCGACTATATCATCAAATGTATTCGCAAGATTCAGAAAGAAAATATCGCTAGAATGGAAGTACAAAAGCGAAGAGTCCAGGATTTCTCGAGGGTCATTGATCACTATTTTCAAAAGACTGTCTACGTTGATGACTGTAGTAGTTGGTATCGGAGCAATGGAGGGAAGGGGGATCGGGTTACTGGTCTCTGGCCGGGAAGTACGTTGCACGCGATGGAATGTCTACGATCGCCAAGATGGGAAGATTTCGACTATGTATATGAAGGAGAGAATGACGGAGAAGAGTGCAATAGGTTAGCTTGGCTTGGAAATGGCTGGTCTATCACGCAGACTGATTCACAAGAAGGCGAGCTGGCTCACTTCTTGCAACCAGGCATGGTTGACATACCTGCCGAGCCATTTCCCGAGGAAACCAGCATATTCGAGATGAGGCCGTTTTCTTACTAGTTTTATGTTAAAGTTGTGTAGATTTATGGAGATACAGCTTGGAAAGAAGTATTCAGAAGCTCATCGTATGACCTAGTGATATAAACGAGTTTCTCGATGCCCATGAGGTCAATCTCCGACATACACTCAACGATCCAATTTCGTTCGGGTGATCGTTATCACCGGGGGTGGGCTAGTCATTATCCCGTCTAGAAGAACTTGTTTGGTTAATAACTTAGTGTGCAGATATAAACAGCCCACTGACACCTTGATAAAGCTCCTTCAGCCTTTTCTTTTCTCGCTACCGTACGCATATGATTTCACCAAACACAACATCTTTTTGATTCGCATTATAATCAAATTAATAAAGTTATTATAAATTGAAATATAACGTTTAGGTGTCTTTAAAGAAGCATAGAGAAGTTACGTTTTGGAAGCTAGTCATGAAATTGGGTATAGAACTTAAATTAATACTGATAAATTGCTAGTGACTTGCATGTAAATACAAAAACTTTCTTCTGAAGGGTCAATAGCTTGGGTTCGTTGTGCTTGAACGGCGCCACACCACCAGATTCTGTGTCGAAACATTAAATCAAAACAGCTCAAAACACTATTTTTCTGATCGACTTGTTGATCTGGATCGCTGGATATCTCTCAGAAGCAGCTATAACCCGGAAAAATTGGGTTCCGACTTTCCTGATTATATGGGGCTAGGATAGTGATGGACTTTTCATTATTGATTTACCTTCAACCGCCTCGGATATAGTACGTTAAGCGAAGTAATCCCTACAAAATATTGGCACCGGATAGCGTTCAAAACCTTGGAATGGTACTGTACCACTTCCGCCCCGCTACCACGCATACGCAAAAGAGGCGCTGTGCAGTCACGCCACCCTGGTCAATCTCAAATTGCAATTTTCATCAGTCAGACGACAGGCCAGGAACAAACCGCAGCAATTTGTCTTGCCTTGGCTTGGTTCCAGTTGAGAAACTGTACCTTCCGAATTTCTGATTTAGCAAACAATTTGATCACTGCGGAAAATGCTCGTAACTCTACAATACAGGTGGTGATCCATTGGACATGGCAAAGGGAGCGGACATTAGACATCACATCCAGATTCAAAAAACTCTTCCGAGAAATGTAAACTTTTGAAGTTCCTGTTGAGTTCTTCAAGTTCAAACACCATCGTGTTTTAGAGCCACAATTATTCCTGACAAGACATTTTGAAAGATGTATCCTTAAGTTATGTTGATAGTTCTAGGAGGTTCAAGTGAGTGATGACATTAGTCAATTCAACCAAAAGTCCACTCTTGCGTCCTCGCTCACGTATACCCTCCTAATCAATTCTCTAATGGCTCCTCTTTCGATCTTTCAAGGATTGTAGTAAGAACTTTCGACGGCGAGATCGGCTGTCTTGTCAATACCATCCTCCTTGAACCCAAAGTCTGCAAGCCCACGTTTAACATCAAGCTTTCGCAATAACACATTAAGAACATGAATGGCATCCCTGTTGTTCTCAAGCAGGAATTCTCAAGTCTCTCCATAATCTTCGGTATCGAAGGCGCGTTGTATTCTAGAATGTGAGAAAAGATGATGGTATGCGTTTCGGAATGTGGTAAATTGAAGCTTCTGTCTAATGTGTGACAGTGCTTATCATGAAGTGCTATTACAACAGATCCAAGACAGACATCACTGAAGAATGCTCTGTGCTGAACAGCTGTACGATTATAAAGGTTTGAAGGTGTATTCACGATTATGGGAAGTGGTTCTGCAAGACACTTTGACCCTTCCATTACGAGGAGTAGTGTTAACGGGTTTGTATTTTCGGCGCGCAACGCCTCAACTGCGTTTTCTTAGCTATTATATTGTAAAAAAGACATGGAAATTTGTGATATTGATATACTGATATTTCTAATTAAGTTTTTATTAAAATCTAATAAATGGATTATTTGAATTCCTTTATTAATACCACAAAAACTTTATAATTTATAATAATTTTAATAAGAACTGAGAGAAAGTTGACAAATAGGTTAATTTAGGGTATTAATTTGAGTATGTAAATATGATGGAGTTTAGTGATTTATATGTGTATAGTGTTTCAAAAAGGGCATCGGAGGGTCGGCGAAAGCTAGACTAGGTGCTTACGGATACTCGGCAAAGTCCACTACATCCCTATCCGGACACGCAATTATCCACGCAGAATGCGCTATCACATGGCTACATCGTACATGGTCGAATTAACAGCCATTCATGTCCGTACGTATCTCGAAATTTCCGTGGAACAAGAGCTTTCTAGCGAATCATTTCTGGTAAATCACAGCGCACTTGGCGATTTTATTTAATGCCGATTAAGTGCCGGCGTACAAGAGCACAGACGCTAAATGGCTATTAGTTCGGCCATACACGAGGTAATTATGCTACGGTCATTACGGCTAATGGCTTGTCAGCTTTATAAAGTTGACAGATGCGACTTCCTAGGGCTATTTTAAAACTCATACACTTGTGTTTACCCTCGTGTTACCATGTCCAATGACGGCCACTTTGGTTGAGACAGTGAGCTTGTCTATTCTACCTATAGCGGTGCAACATCTACCCCGCTCCCCCCACAATTCCCGATGCAACGTAGCCAAACCACCACCTAATACAAACACTTCGTACACCAGAAATGAATCTCAATAACGCCTGGCACTTATTGTTCCAAGATGCCGCGTAACAGGGTTGATCCACTACGTCGAAGACGAGTAGCACAAGCATGTGACAGTTGCAAGAGACGCAAGGAGAAGTGTAGTGGCGGTACCCCCTGCGGGCAGTGCAAATCCCGACATCGAGAAGAGGCCTGTCAGTATACGAAAGCCCAGGCATCAGATGTTGCAAAGCGTCTTCTGTGCGAGACTAGAGGCAGCAGCAACCACAGCGCAAGCGAAGATCATCATGCACTGTGTGAGCTTGATGATCTCGCACCGTCTGAAACTCTCAAGGAAGGCGACAATACGGTTTTGAATGCGGCGCCCAAGCCCAAAATCTCCAGAATGCTACGTGACAGTCAGGGGAGATTTAGTATGTCTTGTTGCAACTCTAAATCAGGAGCTAAAGCAGTCAAAGTTTGCTGACCATGTTTAGTTTATGTCGGCGAATCAGCCTCGTTGTCCTCTCTTCAGACTGTGAGGAGAGCTGTGATAGTTGCAGTGGGCCCTTGTGAATTTACATCAGATCCTCTGCGTCACCTGATAATTGAAACTACGCCAACGATTCGTTTTGATAATGTCCACGAACCTCTACTCGATCTTGCTGAAGCTCTTTCTCTTGCAGATCAGTTCTTTCAAGTCGTAAGTGGTATCATGGACCTTTTCGACCCTGCTTGGTTGATAGATAAGCTGCCGACTTGGGTCGAAGATTCTTCACGAAGAGGAAAGCTGGAGTCGCCCGTCATTTATCTTGCACTCGCGATCGGGGCACAAGGAAGAGCTCGAGATGAATCAGATGAGATCATTGCTGAGAGGTGATTTGGTTACGGTCGTCAAATTGCAACGTTTACACTTATGGACGACCCAAGTTTGTTGACGGTCCAGTCGTTCATCTTGATCACCTACTACATGCTTGCGGCATGTCGACACAATGGGGCTTTCGTTAATTTAGGGGTGGCAGTCAGAGCTGCTTATGCTCTTGGAATTCACCGCCACGAGACAAACGTTGCATTTGTTCCGCAGGAGGGCATATCTCAAGAGCGGACCTGGAAGACTCTACGAGTTTGTGATCTTTTTTTCAGTGCATCGATGGGAAGACCACCTGCCACCTCAGACACCGATTGCAATATTCCCTGGACTTCGGTGGATCAGGTCGCCGGCAGAGAGAGTCAGTATGTGCCTTCGCAGGTCACTTCCGCCATTCTTAGAATCTGCCACGTCTTTGAACGCATTTTAATAGAAGTGTACTCTAGAAGAGCTGTCTCGCTCGACCTGGCAAGAAGTATCTCAAGACAACATCGCGAGTGGACAGAAGCGTTACCTCGTATGCTTAAAATTGACGGTTTGCATGAATCGGTTGCAACCCGAAGCCTTGGGCTTTCTCACCGACTTGGTTGTGGACTCGTGAAAATCGCATACTATTACTCGATCATTCTACTATCTCGACCAATTCTCACTTTCAAGGTCTGCCACAATGCTGGAAAATTCAGCCATGGCGAGGCCTCATCTTCCTTTAATGCAGATTTCAATACTTACGCAGACGCATGTGTTGACTCGGCTATCAAAGGTATAGATGTGGCTCATGAGACTGTTTACGAACAAGCCATGCCTCAACGTCAGCCCTTCATAATCAACAGTGTCTTTATTTCGGTGCTATGTCTTGGACTTGCCTACCTGGATGATTTCGATCAAAGAGGCTGGCCGTTAAGCACAGGGCTCAGACGGGGAATTGCAATCTTAAACCATTTTGGACGACTGAATCCCCAATCTGCTCGGTACTCGGAAATCTGCCAGCTCCTGCAAGACGCCACGACAATGTATGTTAATAATAGGGACATCAAATTATTACGGTCCAGTAGCCAGCAACTTCGAAGTGTCTTTGGTGACATACGACATTCTGCAGGAGATCAATCCCCGATACAGCCTTCGAATGTAGACTTCAGTTCGAATATACTTTGCCAGCAGGGAATTGTCGAACCGATTTCGCCGTCTTCTTTCAATGAAACAACTTTTGAGGCGGAGTCGATGAATACTATGACAGGAATATCAACTGGACAATTCTCTGGAGGTCACAACTACCATCCCCACGATAATTCACAATTCACTGCTTTACCCCTTAACTTCTTTTCGACCAATGGTGCCCTATTATCTGATGACTGGCCGACAGAGGATGATGTTCCGCTCTTTTCATTAACAAGCGAAGCCACATCAGAAATGTAAGAGTTGAGGCCCCGGCTTATCACATACCACCTCATTTCGTGACAAAATCCCTACAAAAATACTGTTTTCTCATATAAATTAATTTCTTTTATTATTTATTTAATTATTGGATAATTAATTTCAAAATAATTTAAATAAAATTTATCAACATTCTAAATGTTAAAAATAAAAGGGATTATTTTTATTAATTTTTTTGGAAAAGTTGTAGGTCTTTAAAGTTGATATTTTTCAAAATTTATTATATATATATATAACGTGGTTTATCATCGAGTAGGTCATATCATCGAGTGGGCTATCATTTTTATATACAAAATTCGTTTGTATATAACCATGCACTTTCTTTATCTATTAATAGAAATATTTCTTTTATAATGAAAATCGTAACAAATTTCATTTTTTTATATAAAATAATAGGAATTTTTATATAAATACTAGATTTTTAAAAAGCTTATTTTTTTTTCTTTTTTTTCTTTAAAATAATAATTGATTATTAAAATAAAAATATCAAAAAAGCATTAATTTTGGTGTATTTTGAAGTAGCCCACTCAATGATATAGCCCACTTGATGATAAACCACGTTAATGTTTTTCTTATGTATAAAAATCGATTTTTTTGAAAAATTTGAGAATTCTAGTTTCAAAAATCTATAACTTTATTGAAAAAATTATTAAAAATATTTTATTAAATTATTATTATATATATTAACCTAAATAATTTATTTCATTTCTTAATGAAATTAATATATAGTTTAAATTGAAGAAATGAGGGTTTTTGGTGTGTTTTCGCTTAGTGTGTGATAAGCCGGGGCCTCAACTCTTACAATTTGTAATGTTGACAATTCGCGAGGGAGGTGGTTGTTCTCTTCCCTAATATCTCGCTATGGATGTATACTGTAAAAAAGTATGTATAATAGATACCGATTTAATTTTTTATGATTATATTTACATGTGCAAAAATTCATATCGATAAATAAACTTTGGTTAAATAATATAATCGATATATCATATTGCCACTACCCCATTTAACTTACTAACCTTTTAAATTCTATCTACTACCCAGATAATTCCACCCTTCCCTCCAAAAAACTAGTCACTCCTCTCTTCTACCCTTCCTTCTCTTCCATAACCAACCAAACACTAAAACCTCCACAATCACAAAAACAACAACAACTCCCCAAAAATCAACCCCCCAACCCATTCAACCACGCCCAATCATCTTCAAACCCCGCCGTAAAATTACTCGCCCAATAAAAATCAATCGATGTCCATTCCATCTGTGTCTGTCTCTGTCCCTCTGTATCGACCGGTACTTCTCTCGCTTCTCCAAGCGCGCCAGTATTTTCATATCGCGTGTTTGTATTATCATGATATGATTCCTCATGATTATGATCATGAGTATGATTATGATCACTCTCTAGCGAAAATGAAAATGGTGCACTGTGACTTTGAGTTTGATTTTGGCTTTGAGTATGCATTGCCGTTCGCAATTGTGCTTCCGCACCCTCATCGACCGCATCTTTAATAGCACTGTAATACTCCCCCGGTGATATCGTAATCACACCTACATATGGCACCACGATTTTCGCGTACGGATTTCCCAGAGATGAATCCTCACCCTCACTCATCCTCCCTTTCTGCTTCCTCGGACAATTTCCCCTCCCCATCTGCAGCAAGCTTTCTAATCCTTGCACCGCTTGTTTGACGACCAAATTCCCAAGCGAAGTGCATGCCTGCGCGAGCGTTACGATGGTGCGTGCGAGTAATTCTCGATCGTTATGTTCATTTTCATTTTCATTTTCATCTCTTCCTCCATTCTCGCAGCTACCGTAGCCGAGCATGCTTAGAATTAAGAGTGTAGAACAGACGAATGATTGGTAGTCGATGAGTTTTAACATCTCGAATGCGCTGTGCATATCCGAGCGCATGATGTGCCAGATGCGGAGGAGATTTCGTGCGGCGGCGAGACATTGCGTGCGGTGGGTTTCGAGGGTGGGATCGAGGACGGATTGCAGCATGAGAGGCATGTGGAGGAGGACGAGGAGGTGGTAGTACCAGGATTGGGCGGCGACTTGTTCGAGGTATTCTGGGCGGGAGATTTTGTTCTGGGAGAGGGAGGTCTGTGGGTCCCAGAATGAGGGGGGGAGGGTTTGGGTTGTGCTGTGTAGAGAGGTTTGGATCTTTTGAGTGTGGAGAATGGAGAGGTGGAGACTGCGTTGGTTTCGATCGATTACCTTGGAAGAAAGGATTATCAGATTGTGGTGGAATTGGGCGGTGGGGCTTTCTTGATTGTAAGTTGTAAGAATGGTACGACCATCTGCAGCATAAGGAAGTCTGAGAAGAAGTGAGAGATATACATCTCCTGCGCATAATGAAAGCCAAGATTGTATTCTTTGGTTTCTTTCCAGGGAATTCTTGTCAGTAGAAGGATGTGGACGGTGGAGATTGAGAAGTTGGCTATAGGATATTGCTTGGTGCGTTAAAATCCAGCATTTCCTGTTGAGCCCTAAATTCACTGAGGAAGTCAGTATTTCTGGATTTGAAAAGTATATAAACCAAGAGGAAATTATGAAAAATTTGGAGTTCGAGAAATGCTTAGAAGATAATATAGATTTGGAAGTCCGTTCCTATAGCCTAGCATGGAAGAAATCGGAATTAAGATTTCATCTTATATATTAGATTTTTTATTTGCTCTTCAGATCCTAGTCTACATCCACGGCAGTGGCACCCGGAAAGCCAGCGGAGCGTTTTTTCCATTAATATTTATTGATGGGGGCAAGCCCCCAAACCCCCTTAGCTCGCTGCGCTCGAAAGACTTTTATCACAGACTTATTTTCTGAGGAAATTTGAATCCAAAACCTAGAGTCAATGAACTCTCAATGATTCACTTGTCGGCTCAGATTTCAATTCCCCCAAGGACAACCCTTTTTCAATCTGGTCTAAGATTTCATTCGGTGTAGGAACACGGATGATTATCAAAAGTAGTGATCTAGAACATCATTCTTTTCAACCACGAGAAAAAGAGAAATTGAATTTACATACTATAAATCTTGGCTGCAAAAACAATTGTTTCAATACTCTCTTTTGTACTCGTATAATCCCCATCATTTATAATGAGCCTATCTACTTTTTCAAAGTATTCCTGAAACAGTGTACCGGGTAAGGAAGGAAGCTGACGAATAATATACTGATGAATTCTGGTCTCTAATTGTTGAAGACAAACTGCAATACAGAGGATTACTATACCAATGATCGATGGATCAGGTGATTCAAGGGCCCAGAGTATAAAATCTGGAAGCGTTGAATTCGCATTTCCGGTTGAAGATAGAAGTATAGAACCGAGTGGTCGCCTATTGGAATTTTAGTAGTGAGGATCAGGTAATGATTGGGAGTAAGAAATACCTTTACCATGTATACCACCATGAACATGTCGCGTTGACCACTATTTCACGGAATACTGGGGGAATAAGACCAGAAAGCAATGATTCGCAGGTCCGAATACGTTTCTTCGCAGTTGCTGGATTTTCAGCTTTGTAAAGCTTAGAAATGCGTTGGGGAATCAAATCAGAACCTTGACTTCTCCACTATTCGACAATTTAGTAGCTGGAGGTTTGAGAACGGTGAAAAGAAGTAGAGCTCACGATAGCGTTTTGGAAAAGTGTTACGATGGGATCGATATCTTGAGAGGGAGTTTTATCAACTGAAGCTAAAGCCTCAAGTGATGAAGGAGTAGATGGTGGTGTTAGTTTCGCCCCCCAATTCTAGCGAAAGAGACCCCGAACTGAGATTGTCTTCTTGTACATCTCCCAAGTCAATATTCAAACTCCCATTCACCTCATTAGAGGTACTACTACTACTCTTCCTACCATAATCTTCAATAAGTGCTTCAAGTCTCTTGATCTTCTCTCTAAGACTCTCTCTCGTATCAACATTTCCTGCTTGAATCAATTCTCTTCTCCGCTCAGTACATCTTGGACCTTTCAATTCACAATTCCCACATATAGTCGATTCTTTTGTGAAGATACATCGAACTTTTCGTTTCCGACATTCGTGACAATTATGTGTTCCTTTCCGCATGCCTTTTCGAAGGGTGGGGTGAGATTGAGGTAGCATTTTCGTGTGAATTCCTTTGGGAGAGTGGTTCCGGATGATTTTTCGTCCATGATGGATGAAAGAAATTGTTTTGATCATAAACAACAACGATACATATACAATTCAATGCTGGGCGATTGATCAAGAGGGGTATGAGGACACACTAACCTTGTCGGGACTAGATCATAAGCACAAAAGTGACCTCGTCCGAACATTCGTCCGAAGTACTGTTTAATTGGTCCAGACTCTTACATAAGCGTCTGAGCTGAAGACTCAAGGTATTTCTCAGACATGTCGTCCGTTGTTTCGTCCGCTTTGGATTGTTAATCTGCAATTTCTGTAATTTTGAGAGTACTAGTTGTACGAAAACAAATATAATGACGTAGATGATACCATTGTGTTTCTGCCTGTTATTGGTACATATATATATGTATAAGTAACGATGTACCTCTCTCAGATCTCGTTGTATTCTCCTTCATCTATCTTTTATAGACTTCTACTTTTGTTATCAAAAACGAGCAGTGACTTTCGTGCTTAAACTAATTGTTTTGATCTTCTTGCATTTCTACTCCAATCGACATGATGGGCTGGTTCACCTCCTTCCTCTATTCTCAATTGTTCGTCAGTCTCCCTATCCCAACCCGCGACTTCACAAATGAAACCATAATCATAACGGGATCAAACACGGGACTCGGTCTCGAAGCCGCTCGTCACGTTTCCCGTCTCAATGCCCACCTTCTAATTCTCGCCGTGCGTTCTCAATCCAAAGGTCAAGCCGCAAAAGCATCCATCCTAGCCAGCACCGGCCGTCCAGAATCCAGTCTCGAAGTCTGGTCTCTGGATATGCAATCACCATCATCCATTCAAGCTTTCTGCGCAAAAGTCAATCAACTCCCCAGAGTTGATGCCGTGCTTGCTAATGCGGGAATTATGACCAAGTATTTTAAGTTGGTGGAAGGATATGAGAGTACAGTTATGACGAATGTAGTTGGGACTTTTCAGTTAGTTCTGGGGATTTTACCAAAATTGAAAGAGTCAGCCAAGGAATTCAACATCCAGCCTAGAATCTCAATTGTGGCTTCGGATTTGCATTATATTGCCAAGTTCAGGGAAAGGAAAGAGAAGGATATTTTCAAGGCGTTGAACAATGAAAAAACATCAGAATTGGATTTGGAAAGGTTGGCCATCTTTCATCTCTACCCTTATTCGCTCAAAGATTCTTATTCTAGAACCCACATACTAAAAATAACCAGATACTCCACCACGAAACTTCTCCAAGTCTTCGGAGTCCGCGAGCTAGCTCAAAAACTTACACGTGACCGGGAATCCGTATCTCCATCTGTCATCGTCAATTGCATGACGCCCGGAGCGTGTAAATCCGATTTTTTTCGCGAAAACAAGGGCTTTGATAGATTCAAAAGCTGGCTTCTGAGTACTCTGCTTGCACGTAGCACGGAAGTAGGGAGCCGGGCTCTGGTGGCGGGAATTGTGGCGGGGGAAGAAAGTCATGGGGAATATATGGCTGATTGTTTGATTGCTGAGTATGTGACTCTTTTTTAACTATATATTTTTGTAGGGGTGAAGGAGTGTGAATGTGGATGATGGATTTTTCTGGACGCAAACATTGCTAATGCCAAGTATAGGACCGGCCCACTTGTAAGAGGACCCGAAGGTAACAAGTTGCAGAAGAAGGTATGGGATCAATTAGTGAGGGAGCTGGAGACAATTCAACCTGGTGTTTCCTCAATCATCTAGTGGTAGAATCCTCGAGACAACATCAAGGCGGAGAATTGGAAGGAAGAATTTTTTCGTAGAATTTTGGAGTTCTGTTATAGCGTCGAGTGGCGCCTATAGATCTGTGTCTAGATTGAAAATACGTAAAGTATGATTATAATCCCTACTCGTTTTGCTTTTCGATATATATCCTTTGATAACTTCAGGATCGAGATAAATATCTGATCAGATCAGGTTTGAACAGAATGCACCAAGTCGTGCATGATGCGGAGAGGTATTTTTAAAACACATTCATCGTTCAATACTTACAAAAAGGGCAACTGTCACTCCACTTCACACTGCCATATCTCCGTAACCCTCCATCAACAATTTCCATTCATCACACCAGTCTCACGAAGTCCATGATACCATCCAATATACAAGATCAAACCTCTTTTGCTTTGCCATAAAAATACATTCATGCTTTCGAATATACCCAGAATTATTGTACACCCATTTATTTTCTAATAACGAAAGTAATCATGCGAAATATTCAATTTTGAATATATAACCCGCACTATTACCCAACCAAACGCCTTATATTTCGTCTTTTGTCTAATTTCAACCCGTCCAATCCAATTGTATCTTTTCATGCTGTTTTTCTGAAAAGCCGCAAAAGCTCATCATCCTCGTTAATTTCCGATGAAACTATTGATGTTCCGTGTTTTGTATCTTGTTGGAGCTCATAGATCGAGTGAATTGGCGAGATCATCTGCTGTTTTTGAAGATGCAATCTCGGCAGTCTTTTATCTCTGTCTGTGAGCGGTCATATGTTTTCCCTCTCCTTCTTTTCATATCTACCAGTGACCAATTGAGTCACTTTCTCTTCCGCACTCCCATCACAATCTATCACCTCCATCCACATTCACTCGCCTAATCATTCGCTCCATACTCTCCGTTTCATCCTCCCTCTCCCTCTCTTTTCCTGAACTCTCATCACTAGTTCCCTCGCCACCACTTCTCTCAACACTCACTTCATACTCCCTCGTTATGCCCGATTGTTTATCCATTGTTTCCATCTGATGATCCATCGTTGTAAGAGTTAACGAGTTCTTCTTCCTCAATTTTCCAATTTTTCGCTTCCTAGATTCTAGATTTGCTTCCGGGTCGGGTATTTGACGAGGGTCGTCAGATATGAGATGAGATGAGAAGAGACCTGGAAAGTATTGACGGATGAAAGGACGGAGAACGACAAGGGTATTGCAGAAAATGCCAATGTTTATTTCTACGGATCTGGTATTACAGTTTGGGTTAGTCTTCAAATTTTGTGTATAGGAAATGAGAGGCTAAACGCAGAAATGTCAAGAAAGGAAAGGATTGCAAAGAAAGAGGGAGACAAACGACCATACTGCTGCTCTGCCTTGAGTGTATAGCACATCTGAATTATTTTGAAGCGCCATGATGTATGTTATACGGACTATACAGATGATTATCACACTGTCAACAGTTATGTCAGCAAAGCCTTCCAAGTGCAAGTGAAAGAGCTTTCTCAAACAGTGTTTGAGGAGTAAGGGAAGGGTTTGAACACACAAAATACCCGTCGAAAAAATCGATGCAACCGCCAATTTTTGCCTCAACGGCAGCTTCAAAAGATATAGCATATGTGATGGAAGTATAAGAATGGCTGCATCTGTAAGAATGTTGAAGATTGCTTGCCAGAGTCCACACTGGTTGAGACATGCACCATTCGCGGGGTTTGTGGGAACACATGGAATAGCTATTATTAGAGATATGGCGAGAGTGTAGATTATGATTATCCCGGCGACGAAACAACAGCCTATACGGAAGTAGTTGCTTGGATTGAGTCGATAAAGGCTGGGAAGTACTTAGTTCACAAAATTATTTGACATTGCTGAGGGAAGATACTTACAGGATGAGAATGGATAATTTGGTGAATGCGGGGGCCCAAGCGTAGGTAGCTACCATAGGGCTGAGTTTCTAGGTCGGTAAGTAAAAGATGGGGTATGAATTGAGAAGCATTGACTAACTGTAAGATAGGAGGCCATCTGTTCAGCAGTAACTTCCCATAGGTGTCTACCGAATCCAAATCTCATGCCTAGCCATCAATTAGTATGGCTGTTCTACTCTCCACGAATTGATCCGTCACCTACAATCGACAGTGATAGCAAAATATGCAATTGAACATGCATATGAAAGAATAATCGCGACTACATCCCAGATCAGCATCCTCGTCGATTGCCGTAGATAAAAAACCTACCATCATCCAAACCAAAAGAGTTCATGATACTAATCCTTGTGTACAATCGGATACCAAGAGTACTACTAGCCAGACCAAGTGTAATGGTGTATGCAATAATGAAAGCCACCTGCGTACTTGACAGAGCAGATGGATTTAAATCTGGCGTCACACCAGGGGGCGCTGGAAGGAGTCCGGTTGACATATTTGCTCTTCGTGCTGTGAATCCTGCTTGAAAGAATGTTCATACTCGATGAAGAGTAGATTCAAAGGAGGACACATTGTTAACTATATGCCAGAACAAGAAACGACTCCGATTCTTGATCATCATTGTCGGCATCCCGAATTCGACCAACATTTTCCAATAGATGATAGTCTAATGGTCGGATACAGAGTATACTGCTTTTTCGAAAAAAGAATTTGAGAGTTTGTGAGACCCGGAACTCGGCAGGCAAATCACGACATGGATTGTAGCTGAAAGTGTATGTATGATTGGCCCGATGTGGAGCTCATATTTCGCTCCTGCATAACCTAAGTTATCGGGAAATGAATTCACGAATTTTACCATATCAATAGTCATTGATACTAGTTAAATGAAAACGAGCTGGATTGCAAGAAGAAAAAGAACAATGAATTCTAGACTACGAGTATGCAACGGCTAGACATCTGAGATTGTGATCAAAAATAGTCAGACCCCACTCGCTCGTCGTCATGTAAAGAAAAGAAAAGGTCACGACTCACAATGCTCTTCCATACGGAAGAGAGCCTACTGTCAACGTGCATGCTTACGTGCATATTTTCTCCACCTTCCCTTTCCGGACGACATATTTCGAGGTCCAAGTTATCGCTGCATGATTGATTTTTCCCTCTTTTTTGCTTTTCTTCGTTGCACACTACCAACGAGGTTGTTCGTTGGATAAAACCGTCACCAATAGCAACAATGTCGACCTTGTACATGACAGCCATTGCAGCAGGCGTATTCTTCCACAATATCGTAAGGAACAGGGAATTCGATCGTTATCCGTTCTCCATTCTTTTTGTGGTCATAGCATCCCACATTGTTCTCTCGATACTACTTCATTATGATAACGATGTCGATGTCCTAACATTTTGGCAAGCTCAAAGACTTGCCTCTAGCCTGATCGCGACGACCATTCTTTCGCTATGGACGAATATCCTTGTTTATCGAGCCTTCTTCCATCCGCTACGAAATTTCCCTGGTCCTTTTGGTGCCCGACTCTCCAAATTCTGGAGTCTGGGAAAAGTTATCGAATCTAAAGTCAGGTGGTACCAGGTTGCTGGAAAATTGAAGGAGGAGTATGGGGATTATGTCAGGACAGGTAATGACATCCAAAAGAAGTAACTTTTCTGATACATCCAAAGCTAATTAATGTCAAGGACCGCGCGAACTCACAATTTTCGATCCTGCAGCCATTAGTATCATTCTTGGCGCTTCATCTAAGTTGCATAAAGGACCGTTCTACGGCTCGACATCCCCAGAGTCTTTGCATACGACGAGAGACTCGGACTTTCACAGAAAAAGAAGAAAGATCTGGGACTTGGCCTTCAAGCAATGTATTTGGAATCTTCACTTTTATTCTTTAAATATCATGTGACTGATGATTAAACTCCAGCTCTCGCTGATTATGGACCCCGCATCGCAGAGTTTACCACATCGTTTCTTGCTCGTCTATCAGAAGGTGGTGAAGATCCGTTAGTGATTAATGAGTTATGTGTTCAATACAGTTACGATGTCATGAGTGCATTGGCATTTGGTATCCATACCAAATTTCTGAATGGGAAGGAAACAGCTGCAGCCAAGAAAGTTCTTGACAATATCCAATCTGGTATTTCTGCTCTTGGAGCGGTAGTTCATATCCCATGGATGTTCACAGTTATTGACGTGCTGAGTTTTCTTGGAGGGCCAATGAAAGAATTTAATGATTGGTCAGCTTCTCAGGTGGAGGCACGAAGAGACGTTTGCCTTTCAGACCTTCCCTATCACATATAGATGGGCTAATGGTTCAGCAGATGAAAAACCCCAAGCCAGATATAGTAGGCCATCTGATACAGCATACGGAGAACACTCCTGCTGGACGCGCTCTTCTCAACGGCGATTCTCGCGTAATCATTGGAGCAGGCAGTGATACTACTGCATCAGCCCTTACGGCAATCTTCATTCATCTTGCCCATTATCCTGAATATCAAGCTCGACTCTTTAAAGAGCTGAGACCACTGTTTGAAGATGGTACATATACTGATGCAATGCCGACTCCATTACTTGATGGGATCATTCAAGAAGTACTAAGATTATACGCTCCTGTTACATTCAACTCTCAGAGAGTCACTCCAAAGGGGGGATTGACTATTGGAACGGTATATATACCTGGGGATACAATTGTTAGTATTGCAACCTGGCAACTTCACCGTGGTAAGTATTCCTCTCAAGGATTCGCGCTTACTTTCTGCTCTCCCAATGCTGAACTTTTAACTCTTAATTCTAGATCCTCGAAACTTCAAGCATCCAAACAAATTCATTCCGGAACGTTGGACGATGCGCTCGGATCTCATCATTAATAAGTCAGCATACTTACCATTCTCTATGGGTGTATACAATTGCATCGGAAAAGGTCTTGCAATGATGGAACTGCGTTCTGTGATTGGGAGATCGGTAGCTGAGTACAAGGTAACGTTCCCGGAGAATATAAAGTTTGACGAAGAGGAGTTCTTTGGCAACGTCAAGGATCACTTTACTAGCGGAATTCCAAGGTGTGAGTTAGTTTTCAAGAAAAGATAAGAGTGAAATGAGTGGGTGGACCTACTGCTTTACTACTGAAAGATAATGAGGTGGGTGGAGGGATAAGGGATGAAGGATGGATCTGTATATTGGTTATGCAATTAGGGTCACTGACACCTGTGCCCCTCTTATACATATTTAGGTGGGAACTCCCAGAAAGCTACCAAAACTGCCTGATGAGGACCGAATTCTGCCTGTTCCCAATTGAATTGGATGTGATTTTATGTTGGCTGAGTAGAACCTATTTATGATATTCGAATGCTTTTTATACACACTATCTACCCTAAGAATATGCATGGAAAACAATTCAAGATTTCAAAACACTAAGGCTTTCAATCTTTTCCGTCCATCACTGTGGACTCCGGACTCAGGACTGTTGCGATTATCTGGATTTTCGCAACTTTCCTGATCGCCTCCCCGCTTCTCATTCTTCTTCTTCTTCTTCTTCTTCTTCTTCTTCACTGTTCCCCATCCTAATTCAAAACTGCACAAAAACGCTACGCTTAATGCTCCAGCTGCAAGGTACTATTATACAATTCACTAGCAATTTAGTCACATCCATCACTCTTATCTAAACACTCCTCCACATCCACCTAGATTCAAAAGCTGATGAGCTAAAGGAAGAAGCGACTCACGAAACATCTGATCAAGCTTTCATTGTATGCTATCAGCACCCTCTCCAACTCCGCGCCCGTCACCAAGTCCCTCAATCCCGTATCACCACTTGCTACGATGGCTTCTACATCGATACTTGGTACACATATAGCTAGTTCTTCGGTCAAAGAACTTGGAAAGATTGTTGAGGCGAAGGATAGGAAAATTGCGCTGCCGAAATATCCGGAAAAGGTAGCGAGAGATGAGCCGATCGCAATGTCTGTGGTGGGAAGAGAGTTTTGAATCGCTATTATAGGCTGATGGAATATTAATAAGTTCTTAAGGAGTAGAAAGAAAGAACGGGATGTAGGTATTTATAAGAGATTTATAAGAGATATCAGTAACAAAAATCTGCACATACCATTTGTGAAACCATTCCTCGTCCAGCACCAACAAAGATCTGAAAGCCAATCCATTCACCCGCCCCAGTATTTACATTAAACAAACTCATACATTCAGATCCGACAGCTGAACACACGCAGCCCATGATCGCCCAGGGGGTAAAGTAACCAAGTCGAGAAACTATTCACACATCAGTCATATCTCTCACAACAAATCTTAAACACACAGCGAAGAAAATGACGTACCTAACTCCCTGCTATAATTGAACACCCAATCGTCGCCAAGAAAGTCGGCAGCGTTCTCACTCCGCTTTCCGTAGGCGAAACTCCTTTGATAGTCTGAAACCAAACCGGTAGATATTACGAGATTACTACTAAACCTCCTTTATTGAGCATTTCCGTCAGACGTCCACTATACACTATCCTATTTCTCAACATATCAAGTGGTATCATTGCATTTTCTCCCAACCTGTATTCCTAGTAGAGGAATAACAGGAAGAGAAAAAAAGAGATGCAAGACAGAAAGATGACAGTAGCTGATGACCAGTGATATGAAGAGCCGTCCCATTCGAGAGCTAGAAGGAATGATATGATGGTAGGTGTGAAGAGGATAAGACCACATGGATCGAGGTTTAGGAGTTTCTTTTTGGAAGATCATGAAGTGCGAACGATGTTGTGAATGCTGGGGATATGGATTAGGAAGATGACAAGAGCGGTTAGGAATTGGGTAGATTGAGAAAGAAGCCTAGACGTGTCAGTGGTATCTTGATTCTTGGATGATTACGGATTTTCGTAGACCACTGAGATTCTTTAGTAAGGAACTATCTGAAGGGTCATTGATTTTACTCACTCTCCAAGAAGCATGTTGAGTCAATGTACCACCAATTAGAGGTCCGATGACTTGTCCAATAGATGCAGTAGATATTATTAAACCAATAAGAACTCGCATATCGGTTAGGAAAAACTGTAAGCATCAAGGAGAGGATATTTAAATACATACTTGATCGTTTTGAGATAGGAGCTGCAGCAGCAAGAATCGTTAGAGCACCATTAAGAATACCAGATCCATCACATCCCTGAATCTCTTGACAAACCGCAGACCAATGCACCCAATTCAAATATTGCAAGGAAACAAAGAAATGTGTACTAGACTATCAGTTAGCTTGGATATAGTAAGAGATTCTAAGTCTTACTTTGAGAGAGAATTAGGTATAAAGTTTGCCGCTGAGTGGTTGCATGGTGCAGCTAGGCGCAAGAATCATTACTATGGTTCTCTTTCATGAAGATGCAAACTTACTTTGAAAGTAAATAAGCACTTCCATACCATCCTGTGAATGTTTAGTCAAGAGAATGAATGACGTAAGCACGGCAGCTTACCTATGTCTTCTACAGAGTGGAATTCACTTGTAATGGGTGGTATAGCCTAAGATGGAATTCAGTAAAGAAACCCCGTAGAGTATAAAGACTTATTCACAAACCGTTGCCAGGACCGAAGAACTGAACGTCATCAGGAAACAAGCCAGAGTCAAAGAAAATACAATCAAGTGAAGCTTCGAACCCGTGACATATTGCTGCTTGGCTGTATCTGAATCATCTCTTCCAATCCTGATACCAATAGAATCGGTAGTAATTGCTTTAGGGACACTTCCGATATTTGCGTAGAGAAAAGGAACTACTTAGATCACAGAAATACATACTGTGCTACAGCATACACTTACTTTAAGTAATTTGATGCACAACCCATTTTGGACAGAACAGAGACGGAGCGATTACATTGCGCCGTCGCCTTGCGACGGAGTTGACCACACATATCTTATAGCGCGCTGGGACTTCAAATGGAATAACACCCGCTCTTCGCCTGTGCGCGTATATTCGCCTGATGTATCTGAAAATAAGTGGAAGAATTTCTACACTAAATTCGACGCATCGTACGGCGGTTCCTGCCGTGATATGTTGAAAGACAATGTGTTGACAGCTATTGAAAACATGTTGAAGATAGTGCAATTGATTAGCTTGCATTAAAATAAATCGCTTTATATATGTGCCGAGCCAGACCGATTATAATTTATTCATCTAAAAAACGTATGGCTGGGAATATTTTAAGATAATGTTAATATGAGCATCGTCAAACTACGATGTGTGGCGATGTGGGTCAGCACCAGCTATCGTATAAAATTCGGAATTACGCGAAATAACGGACATCAATCAAGAATAGTAGTTCCATTCCTGTCGATAATATGCCGAAAACCTGGCGTGTGACTGAAATCGCGAAAAGAGTTCTATATAATTTTGGTCGATATCATTATTGCCTTCTCAAAGAGACTGGTGGGCTGTAAATGTCAATCTTTTCCGGCGTTAGAACACAACAATTGATATTAGCCAATCCATCGATGAATTTGTCTTTTGAAATCACTTGATAATTTAGTATTGTACAAGAAATACAAATTTCCTGCCAATATCAAAAGTTCCAAGGAATCCCCCAACACCAAAAGCGTCTAGCCTCACAATCACAATTAATTTTGACACGCTTAACTACTCTCCCTTTCATTTTTCAATATCGCTTGAAAGAATTGGCTCCTCTCTTTTCCAATTGCGGAATGAAATGCTATAATTTTTCTTTATCGATTATAATAACAAACGAAGCGCTCGCGAAATAAAGGGGTGTCCGGGAGCCCAACAAAGAGCTGGAACGAATACAAAATCTTTCATCTTAATTGTTATGAGAAGTATGCTTTGGGTTATGAAAACTTTGATATCGAATCAGTGAAGACTGTTGATCTACAAATTCTTTTTACATACAAATTGGAGGATAATCCACACACAAAATGGGGCCAAAAATGCCACCAAAGCTACCAGGAGTACCGAATTCATTCTTCGGTCCGGGGGGGCCCGCAGTTCCATCGCCTGCAGCTCCATCAGCGCCTGGGATATCAGCGGCAGATCAAGCAGCAGCAGATCAAGCGGCGGCAGATCTACTAGAAAAACAGCTAGAGGAAGATATGGAAAGAGAAGATCAAGCAGTGAAAGACGCATTAGCGAGAGCTAAAGCAGCGGCAGATAGAGCAGCAGGAAAGCTGCCACCAGAACCAGTGTCGCCAGCTGGGTCACAAGACTCTCAAGGAGACGAGCCAGGTCAGAATCCAGCAGTACCATGGGAAGATGCACCGCCAATTGTCGATGATGCGGATGCAGTTGCAGCCAGAATTGCCCCTCCCGACTTACGGTTTCCTGATGTAGCCAGGGCAAATTTGTTACCCTTAATGGGTGCGGGCATTCATCCAGTATCAACATCTTCCGCAGGTAATCTCTGTGGCCTTCATGCTCTGGTTTATAGTTACGGTGCACTTCGAGACCTTGCGGCTCCCGAGGGCACACCTGTTCCCCTAGCAGATAATCCAACTGCCAAAGACTTACAACTGTACAAGACGGGCCCTCAATTCTATAAGGACGTTATGGAATTCCTCACATCTCAGGGTATTCTTGTATTTATGGATGCTAATGGGAATCCACTTAACAAAAGACAAGTTATGAGACAGGTCACCGGGATAGTACCAAACTCAACCCAAAATTATGATATCAATGTCCTCCAGGCAGTTCTATTGCATTTGAATAGGACGTACGGAACACACTACGTTATAGGTCATATTTTACATGGATTCAATGTTCGATGGGATCCTATTAATAAGATATGGGATACGGCGTACAGGTCACCAACAGCGGCCCAGGCTTTTGGAGACGGGGTTCACCCAATATTGTGGCTCTATAACGACAATTATGAAAATGAAATCAGATCACTGCATCAGAGCGAGAGTGACGATCCCATGGGTCACTGGATGGGATTTTCAAGTTCGTAACCAGTTCACGTTTCCGCGATTTTTCTATCCCCAATGATATTTTCCAATGTGAAGGTTGACCTCTATTGGTTTTTGAACATGGACTTCTCTCTTTTTCTCACACACCTTGAATTTCTGAATTTCTCGTTTTCTTCTTCGATATCTCTTGACAAGTAGTCGCTAACTCTTATGACTTTTCAAAGCATTGCACAGGAATCTAGATGAAGGGTTGATTGAAGAAGGCAATTCGTGGTTTGAACACGACATAGATGCTTATCTGGATGAAGGAGTCTGGATTGTTACAGCTGACGTTGAAGGATATCATGTCGACCTTGAAGAGCATCAAGATCCCAGGGAGCTCAGATTGTACACTGGTAACTTTGTTAGAGTGCCAACGATAGTTCCAGATGTAGACGCGCCTGACGGTTACATGTGGGTGCAAGGAAGTCCATTTTATGTGGGTGATGTCGAAACCCCCGGGCCAATCGGAATTGCACCACTGAAATGTTTGAAAAGAATTGCGAAGAACTTCCTCAGGGAAGCACACGATGCAGCTGGAGCAACTGCTGCCAATATTATCAGAAGAGTGGGCGTTGTATCAGATGACAAGGGTAAATGGCAAGAATTCGTTGTTCACCGTACCATCGAGCCGACCACGAAGATCAGTGGAAGATACGCTAATCCAAATGATCCAGCGAAGAAATTTATCGGAGGCTTCGAATTTAAGGATGACGAATTTCTACTTGACACACAAGAACCGCTCAAGGATCTATATCCTCGGATGATAAGAATGGACGGAACAAGGGGAAGAGTTAAACCTCGTAACCTTCAATTCTTGGAACAAGCATGGAAGCTCCCCGACAGGCTTCCCGTTCCAGTCTCAGGTACCAAAAAGATACCAAACACTTCGATGACACCTGGCAAACAAACATTATTAACTTCCTCCAATAAATCAGACCCCAAATACAGGTATAGACCAACTATGAAAGCAGTAGATTTTAAAATAAAAGACCTGAGAATCCACTGCAAAGCTCGTGGTATGGTTCCCAAAGATTATGGAAAAACGAAGGCCTCGATGTTGGCCAAGCTTGTCGAGCACGATGAAAAGAACGATATTGCGGTCCAACCCTCAGGAGGTCAAGTGCCTAAACCGGCTGAGTCTGGTCATTTCCTACCAATGAGACGCGTCCTAGTAGATATCGTAAAAGAGGCTGGTCCACCTAAGATGCCCCCATTTTTTGCAACAGAGATAGTGGTGGAGTTAGGTAAAGGTGACGCCGACGATCCCGCAACTTGGATAATTGATTATGAAGGTCGAGTTGGCAGGATTGATGATGATGATCTTGAGCCAATAGTTGGAGCCTGGGGGATTGAACTGGATCCAGTCAGGTGGATTCAAATATTAGGTGCTTTGAGAAAGGATTTAGGTTACGATAAACCACCCAAACCTGCAGCCAAACCACCCGCCAAACCTCCTGCAAAACCGCCTGCCAAACCTCCTGCAAAACCACCCGCCAAACCTCCTGCAAAACCTCCTGCAAAACCGCCCGCCAGCACTGCCGCCAAACCTCCCGCGAAACCTGCAACCAAGCCCGCAGGTAAGAAAGTGGCTTTTGAAATTCCTCCACCCCCAGGCTTCGCAGCTTCAGGTGTTCCGCCTCCAAACCCCACAGCTGGAAAGACTGTGGGGAAAAGACCCGCTTCTTCCTCTGCGGAACCTGCCAACAAAAAGACAAAGAAGAAGAAGTGAGTGGCCATGGTAGCTGCAGCCAATACAACCAAGAACTATCTGCAGCTTCCACTATTGATGCCAACTACGTCTCCAGAGCCTCTCCAAAAATACACTCGGGCGAAATGTTGGCGTTCTTTCTTCGATCAATAAACCACAGGATAGCTCTGAGAAGCGAACATGGGCTGTGTTTCGTGGGAGGTAATCTGAAAACTATGTTGGTTGTGTATTGATATTGTGAGAATTTTTGAAATGCTAAAGTTTTGTATCTCATAGTCATATCTGATATTTGGCCTGTAGCTGTGCATTGAATTTGATGATTAAAAAGGAATGAGATGTCAATGAGAACGCGTACGTCGAACACTAAGATGGAAGTCAATCGATTCAACAGCTGGAAGGCTTTTGTTTCTGATCTCTTATTTTTGTTTAGTCATGAAATATAAATACGCAGACCTGTGTACATAAGTATCAACTCTTTCAGCAAAACAATAACAAGCTCATTGAGTTATGCAACAAAATAATGTGAAGCAGTGAATGAAACTTTCAAGAGGAGACACCTAGGTCAGCACTCGGGCCATCAACAAACGTGATTCAATATCACCTGATATTTGATTGAACTGCTCGACCTGATTGTCCTTCCTTCCTCTCCTGATCATTCCCATCTCTGGTAATCATTTTCTTCCCGCAGCTTTCATGTCTTTGGTACAAGCAGAAGAGCCAATCCAAGCACGTTTCATCCAGAGTAGCCTTGGACCTGCCTGTTTTCTCCTGTCTCTAGAGACGACTGCCTTTTGATATACCATTATCAATTTTGTTGATAATCGAGATCACCGAGATTGGCTTGGGTAACGGTCTATTCCTCTGGGTCAACAAAGCAAGATTAGACTGTTGCTCACTGGAAGAAGTAGCCAAACAACGATGTAAGCTATAAATTCTGTAAACCAATTGCAAATATGAAGTTCGGAATGTTTGAAAATCATGACACGTGCTCTTATCAAAGATTGTCAGCTTCACCTCGGGAGATTTTGATGTTTAATCATCAAATTCAAAAAAGAGATCACACATACAGCTGTTAGATTCTCAGGTCACGCCCATAATATGTATTGGAATATCAGACTTACTTCCTCAAGATTAATATACAAAATGGAGTGCCTCGGTATCCAGTCTAGTTACATAGAGACCCCGCTTCATTCCTCAGAGTATGTCTTTGACTCCAGATATCCTACTTGAAGTCGGAAGCATCGAGTAGCAGATATCGAACCATATCTTCAAGATCTACTCACATCTTCAAAAGCGTCGATGGCCTCGACCTAAAAGTCGACATCATTTCCCCATATTCTTTCACTTCAGCCTCAACTGGAGTACTTTACCTCCGCGGTGGGGGTCTTACTGGTTTCGATCGAGAAAATCTTCCTCCTCATATCGTTCAATCCTGTCTCCTTCGATATTGGCCTATTATTAGCGCAGATTATTATCTCATGCCGCAAGCTAGTGTTCAAGACATGCTGGAAGATGTGGTTTCCGCATACTAATTTGTACACAAAAGGCTCCATGAGCTTCTTAATTTCAAGAGACCGGAAAAATGAGAAACTCAATATCATTCTCATGGGCTCAAATGCTGGTTTGTGCTTTTGGGTTACCGATCTGTATGCTTGGAGACTCTGAACTGAAGTTTCCTAGGTGCTTATCTATCGTACATTTCCAAGCCCCATCTCTCACCTCCACCAGTTGCAGTCTTTATATACTACGGCTGTCCGACTGTCCACGGCCCCCAAAACTATTTGTCCAGCAACAAGACTATTCTCAACGAACGCCCTATCTCAAGCCTCGATTCGCACATTTCCTCACAAGTCCCCAAGAATCAACCCAACACCTTCTTTCTTTCCAGTGTTCATCTCATCCTCTCTTCTTCCGAACTTTTCTCGTGATCCTACATACGAGCTTCTGCCTAACGGTGAATTTGAAGACCGTTCTTCATTATTTTTATGGTTGGTTCAAGAGAACAAATTACTCACGTTGTGGAAAGGCGTTGATCAAGGTTTGGAACGTGAGGCTTGGGAAGGGTTTGTCAAGACTATTGTCGCGCATGGAGATCAGGATGAATTGATTCCTTATTATATGGCAAAGCGAGCTCTTGGTGTTGTAGGTAGGACACCTTTTTAGAGCAAACGTGCATCTGTGCTGATATTACTTAGGACTACATGATGCCCAGTTGTTTACTGCAATCGGTAAGAAGCATTTCTGGGATATGCCCTTGTTTCTTGGTGATCCAGGGTTGAAAGAAGTTGAAGAGGCTTGGAAAGCTTTGGACGAGATCATTTTCAAGGTTCAAGGAGGGCCTTCATCTTAAAAACGACCTCAATATTTCATACACCTCAATATAAAGCGGAGATCAGTCTTTTTGTACGGGAAAATTGGTAAAATACGATTAAGGATATGGATACAAACTAGATCCTTGATGCTCAAATGGTTATTCATCCATCTGAGCCTTAAAAGGTCTCCATGACACAAAACTCTTGTACAACACAGGATATCATTCTGATGGATAATTTGGCAACACGCAAGAAAATTAGCAAAGACTTTTCAATTCATCTACTCCAGCTAAACTATCAACGACACCTTTCCACAAAACATATATCAACACGAATCAAACGAAGTCTTTCCCCAACCAATCTTATCTACCATCGAAGCTTACGTTGAATCCGGCCATGAATACAGATGCACCCAAAGCAAGGTAAGCAACATAGTCAAGCCGCAAGATTCCAGCAATCAGGATATCAAATTTCGACGACCTCGGCATTAAGTTCCTTGAGTCCTGCGTCTTCCTTCTTGATGGGACTAGGGCGAGCTGAGCATGTTCTAGTATCGTCTTGGGCACTTTTGACCTCCAACAGAGCAAGAACCAAAAGCGAGCAACTCATTGGTGGATTTGGATTGAGATATCTGTCGAAGGCTGCGTGTTCTTTTTCGATTCTTGCTCTGTTGGAGGCTCATCGATTGTGGGGCATTTATCGCCGGCAGTTGTAGGAATAGTCGAATTGAGATGCTCAGTGTGCTTGCAACCAAGCGATAATTGAGAGAGGGAGTGTGGAGTTCTCTTGAGAAAATGAAGTTGAAGACATCGTCTCCGTCGAAATTCGTAATGCTTTCTTTGACGTCCTGAGGGACAGGGCTCTCCACTTGTATGCGCTTTGTGTAAGCGGAGTGACAACATCTCCGAGTCTCTGGATGCAAGCCACTACTTGCTCTCAGCTGAAGCGATTGCCCGTAAATGATGACTTGATGACGTATCTTTGAAAATCCGTCGTTTCATTATAACTTCCATACATCTGACTAGCTTCTTGACGATAGCTGGTCGAGCTCTCGCAGCGACCGTTACCTCAACGACACTTTTACTCGAGCAAGGTCAGACGGTGAAAGAAGCTGTTGTATGGTCTTAAAGTGTACACTTTCCATCGCTGGTAGCTGTAGATACAGCACCGAAGTACTTCGAACTCAACAGACTCAAGAAAGGCTCTTCTGCTTGGTTTGTAGCTGGTATGGCTCTTAAGCCAGAGAATTCTCTTTCCGTTTAACTGGTTCTCTTTCAACTGTAGCTCGCACGGTGTGGTGCTCGATCATTATTGTTTCGTCCTACAACGTGCGCGGCATCTTACTAGGATAATTGAGATTAGTTGTTGTACAGTTGCAAGAAGAAACAAAGAATGATAGCCACTTACAATGCTCGTTGTCTCACTGTTTAAGTTATTGCACAGACTTGAGTGGAGAGGGCGCCACAAGTTATTGTTGTCAGTTACCATCCCCAGGGTATTTGCTGTTACCAGTGGTGTCGTAAGCAAAGTCGTGTAGCTTCTTGGTCGTTGACTTGATCAACTAGATTGCAACCATAAATTAATGCCTTCGAAATTAATTGCGATCTTTTGAACTCACCGAAAAAGATTGAGCTGAAAAAGCTGCATTCTCGGAAATCATTTTCAAGCTTCCATTGGACCTGATGCACCGGGGAGCAGATGAAATCACTGCAAAAAGGTTAATAAATATGGCGCGGAGAGCTTTCGCGAGGATTCAAGCTTTCTGGGAGTGTACCAACCAAACAGCGAAAATACAAACACAAACACAGAATATCACCAACGCCATCACCATCACCATCACTGTGCACGCCGAGGCGGCTAAAGAAAACGAGATGTATTGCTATCTACTGAACTAATATACAAAACTATGACAACAAAACAGAGTATGCCAAGTTACAATTTGACTTGGTAACAGACCCATACGCGACGGATCTGTTGTTGAACCAAGTCGCATTGCAACTTGGCATACTCCTTGCATCGGGATTGCAAGTTAATTGCCTTAACAGCATGCTGGTGTTAATCGTGGCACCTCCGGTGCCTTAAACGTTCTGGCTGATTCGCAGGAGATAGCTCTCGATATATGTGCGAACACTAGGCAAGGCGCAATCAGCAATGTACGTGCTTGCACCACCGTTTCCAATGTCGTCGGTGTTGATTGTGGAAGGAGCCCAAGTCCCCCATTGTATGCTCTTGCATACCATTTGCCTCTGTGAAAGAGGTGGCGTGCTGGTGGAAGCCTAAGTTCGTGGTTCCCGGCTCTCGCATACCATCTGAGATCTTCTAGGCCGCGACCCATGACCTTGGCAGTCTTAGGGTCGAGACCAAGAAGTCTGCAATAGAATATCATGCTGGTGTTGATCGTGGTAGAAGCCCAAGTTTGCTTCTAGGCCCTCGCATATTATCATCAGCTTCGGAGTCCACCACCGTCTAGGATTGAGAGAAGCTCTCTCATTCCTGAGACGTGAGCGTGTGTTAGTCGGCACCCCAGAGAGTATCTTAAGGAATGGTGAGCCATCAAGATCCAGTGATGTGGACAGCCGCGGAACTTGAATTTGTGAAGATGAGCTCGAATATGCCAGCTTGATGATTTGGAAAGCTTGTAACTTGATGAGAAACCAATTCATGCTTGCGAGCTACTGCAACTACCGTGATAAGCTCCCCAACTAGCTTGTGTGGTACGGACTTCACTTCAAGATTGAGCCAGTTGAGCGAGCTGCTATGAGTGAAGCACTGGAGTAGCTTCTTCTCACAGTTTTGGCATTCAACATCTCACGCAAAAATTTGGAGCGCTGCTAGAAGAGTCAGAAATGGTTTTCTCACGACATTAAATGAATTACTTACAGTTCGAGGAAATTGAGCCGCGAGGGATTCAAATACAGCACCAACTGTGATCTTTCTGGGATTGTTAAAACAGCAGTGCCCAGTTCAATCTTGATCCTGGTCCATCCTCCCAAAATTGAAGACGCAAAAGTCGGAAGATTGAAGATCGATCTGCAGAAAAGCGCTGTTAGTAAAGGTTCATAAAGGATAATGGAAGATCTCGACATACCTGAAGCATCCTGACTTTGAAACCAGCACCTTGAAATTGTTTCACTTCACAGTCACAGCTCTGAGAGTTCACATCGATAGAGGCACGTCCGGAGACGGCTAGAGAGAAAGAAGTCTATTGTTACATAACGCTAATAATTACTACACAATCCACCCCTACTAATCTTCATCCAAAGAAAACCACCTCCTTGATTTCCCACATGCTCTTTTGGTTGTTGTAATATCTGGTGGTGAGATTAGCCTTTGCTCGGATTGTGATGCTTATGGAAGGACAACTTACTTGTTCAAGATGTGCGCAAGAACCATAGCTGGTGGTACTTGAATGCTGCTGCTGTTGAGGTTGAAGCGGTCTGGGTGGTGCTATCGAATCGTTCCGGAATTGACGTCGAAAAGTCATTGTCGGACGGTGGCTTTTGTCTTGCAGTATGTTCGACACTGAGTGTTGGGGGTCCAGCTTGTAGTTAAAATTTGGTTGGATTTTAATCTTTCGACCGCAGGCATAGTCGTTCTTATAAGAACAAGCCAGACCCCCAACACTCAATTAGTGCATGGCAAATTGCCTGAGCACCATTGTTTTCTAGGCTCTGTGTTCTTTCTCTGTTCTGGCTCGATTGAATCTCTATCTTGCGATAGCAGCTTCATTTCTTGATGAGGGTCGAACAGAGAAAGAACACAGAGCCCAGAAATCGGCACAAAGAGGCATTTTCGAATGGTCCCCTAAACCTCGGAGGACTAAGTTCGTCAGCTTATTTTTTCAAAGCGTGGAATATGGATATCACTCACGCCTGACCAGACCACGCAGGCCAGCCTTTTGAGGTGGCTCAACCTCAGAATCGATGGTTTCAGGACCCTCCATTGTCTTCTGCTTGAATGTGTTAGTCTTGTCACGAACATCAAACTGGATCAAGTGGATTGAAAGAAGGAACAAGGAATAAGGACGGAAAGACGAGAGAAAAACTTACTTGAGGTGTCCTCCACCACACCACCACCATATCTCCCCGCAGATTTCTTCTCTCAGTCAATTCTTGATCTGCCAATATGGAGTCAGCAAGCGTGGGCTTCGTTTTAGCAGAAAGAGAAAACTTACCTGAAGCTCGCACAGCACACACCACCACTAAATCACCCAGCAGACCTCCTCTTTCTATAAGCACTGTTCTCACTCTGAGCAACAGGCTGTAGCTCGATGCTACCGGGGCCTGAGGTCAAAGTTGACAGCTGAAATTTGAAGAGCCGTATCTGATGACTTGAATCATCAGCCGCAAGTGACTGATGATTCTCATCAATACGCTCAAAGCCTGTGAATTAAGCTAGGCAGGAGCAGGAGCCAGTTCCCCTTGGGTGAGAATTTACTTCTCTTTCAATTATAGAGAACCAGCCCCCACTCCGCCATGGCTTGTCATATAATGGCATCATTTCAGTCATCTGATTACCTGTGAATTGACATGGTTAGTAAACTTCTCAGCATAAATTGGGGGGAATTGCATGAACTTACCTGCCGATAATCTCGGTACCACCTGCGGTTGGTAATACCGAGGCGGGCCGCTCCCGTCGAGTTTTCTCATCTTCTCAAAAATCTGGAGAAAATTGAATTTCAGCATATGATCACATTCAGGTTGACGGAGTGATTGAAGACGACGATGGTAAACCACAAATGTAAGTGGGGAAGAATACCTTTTTGTATTTGTTTCGCTTTGAGAGGTCAAGGACTTATGAGTGCCCTGCCTCTCTATGTTCTGTTTGAAAGATAGGTTGATCATCGCTGAAGCAGAATTGATTGTTAGTAAGTCATCACTTCGATCTTCCTCGAGCATCCGATAGATATATAATAATGAGTGAATGCTGGTGATGGAATAAAGCAGGAAGTCTTCGATCTCACATACCCGTTTGAACTGGTTTCGAGTTGAGAGAACGGAGCACACAAGGTAATCGAGTTAAATGGCGCTGTGCTCCATCCTCTCCATCATTTTTTGCATGGTAGGAGTCGAGAAGGCATCTCTGTTGAAAGACAGAAGAAGAAGAAGAAGGAGGAAGAGGAGGAAGTTTTTTGTTTGTTGTTATGATTTGTGGGAAATCTGAAATCGCTAGAGGTGTAGCAGATCAAATAGAATTCAAAAGCGGCAGAATTCCCAATCTTCCCTAGCGTGGAAAAAGCAGATAAAAATCAGACCACCACCCTTGCTAAGCCTCTGCTGCTCTTGATTTATCATTGGGTAGATCTGCTTTCGTACTAGTCTCTCGGATCCAATTTCACTGCTCAAGTACTCCCCTTCTCATCTTCTACCTTCCTTTCTTTTTCTTTCCTCTCCAACCCACTAAGTACCATGGATCCTCACAGTAATATCCCCATTATTACTTCCTGGGCCTCACAGGATGGTATTTAATGCAGATCAAATTTGAACATCAATACACCCATAGCAAAGTTATTGCAAATGGGAAGCAAATGTGTTCAAACATAGCGGGGAAGCCACAGCTTCAAGTACCATCGATTCTTACAGTTGACGATCTTCCATATCTCTCTGTCTGAATCATTAGGTGATGCTTGTTGCAGATTGAAGTGAACTCCAAAGTGCTCAAGGCAGTGTCTATCTGTGAGGGGGCATAACCATGTTCAAACATACAATACAACTCATTTCTTGTACATTAAACTGGAAAGGTTTGGCTGCTGGGAGATCTGGAGTATTAACGTGCTCTTTTCTTATCATTTGTATTTAAGTGTAATCATCAATAACTCTCTTGCTATGTGTTATTTATTGCGTCAATCCTACATGTTATACTTCAAGTGATTAAACTATTATTACATGCTTGCAATATTCTCCAGCCCAAACGTGTACCACCCTCCCACCTTCAGCTTATCTCATCATTCCATAGTCACAGCCTTACACTCCCAAGACTTTATTCCGCTCTCAGCCTCATCATGCACTGACAAGCACCACCTCTGTCAAAAAAGAAAAAAAAAGAGAAGTATTAATTTTTCAATTGCCCACAAGACAATTCGAAGTGTCTAGATACTCATTTTGCAGAAACAATTAAATTCAAGGCGGTCACTCGAACCGAGAATCCCCTAAATAGCCAGTCCCGAAGTTCTCCCACCCCTTCACATTGTTGTTGATTCAGCATCCTCAATAAAACCCACATACAATCATCTATTCTACCAGAAGAAATCTTTTGCTTTCACTAAACGTTATTTTTATTCACTGTTACTTCAATTGATTTTAATTACACAAAAGCCCGCTGATATGCTCATGTGCCTGTATGATTCTCCCTCGAATCCCGCGCAAAATGAACAAATACAAATCAGCGCTGTCTCATTGACTTTCAACAAATTCGCGCTGCACTCTAAACTGCCCTTCTCTATCGATGATAAACGCGGAAGGTTGAACGAGAATCATTGTAGACTCAAAAAAACACGCGACACGTCCAGCTGGAATCAATCAAGTCCCTCATCTACAGACTCTAAACACTCATCATCTATCCATCGAGCGCTCAATAAGTCGATCGACTCTCTTACGAAGTACCTTTTCCAAATAATCGGTCAAATCCATAATTGGCATGTCTGATAAGCTGCTCATGACTGCCTGGAACTCCCAGTCATCTTCATCAAAAGGTAGAATCGTGTAATGCATCCACTTCATGGCAAATGCCTGGATTAAAATCATGCCCATTGGTCCAGTTTGTTCGCAGAAGCATTTTTTGGCAATGAAATTTAGATAGAGACGAGAAATCACATAAAGGGGAGTTTTTGTTTTGCCCTTCTGTATGTTTTTGGCGTAATTACTGTAGTGTTCGGGACTTTTTAATCTGTCTGCTCTAGGATTTTGAGCGCTAATATCACAGATAAATTCCTCCAGCCATTCATGGACTCCCAGTTTGCATTGGCATCGGTTTGAGAGTCCAACATACCATTCTGTATCTCTCTTTACATTTGAAGAGGCTAGGAATTGATTGAGCGTACAGAAAGTATATGGCGTGAGACCATCTCGCGAATACAGGTATTTGGAGACGAAGTATTTGAGCGCAGCCACGAAGACGTAATTTTAAGAGACTCTTATATCTATCTGCGGCGTCCGAGGAAGCTCGGTCACTGTTGAACAGCCTAGGAGATTACTACAAGGATTCTTAGCTGCCTCGATAGAATTTGCAGATCCTGAATTATTGAACCTCTCCTTAACCATCGGGAACATTGATGTTTCGACTGACTCAACGTTACTTGGACGCTCTGCGGTCGTACAGAAAGAAAGTGTCTCGGAATTGAGGTGTTTCATGACTTCGCACTCGATAGGACAGTTACCAGCCCTGAAATATAAGAGTTCTTTGAGTCCTTCAATCGTGTATGACATCACAACAATTGGTCTGAGGGAGTGAAGATGATGCAAAGGAGTCTTTGTGAACATTTTATGATTTTCTCCCCAATATTTCCATAACATCTCAGATAGCTTCATAGTTTCAGAATAGTTACTTCCCTTTTTCATGTTAGCAAATGAAGCTTCTTAGAGGTTTCAACGAGAATATCACCATACCATTTGTATCCATAGGAATTCAGGTAACGACCACGAAGCATATTCAGCAATATTAATTTCCGTATTATACATATTCCGAAGTACCATCGTATTTTCTTCAATCTGACTATCCCAAGACAGATCGAAAGCGTCTTTATAGACTTTAGTACCTCGGTCAATGTTTTCCCGGCAAATTCCTTTCCTGAGATCCCTTAACCTGGACCGACTTCCTCTGGAGTACCTTTTTCTATCGACTTCTCCTGGGGCACCTTTTCTGCTAAGATCTCTTCTTCTTCTTGAAGACATTTCGCTCGATTTCCTTCTCTCAGTATCTTGGAAGACCTATGTATCTTCACCCTCATCTCTAGACAAATCATGAAACCATCCAGAATCTTTGTGAATTTGGAGCTTGGAGGAGCAATCAACTGGCGTCGTCTTAACCTTCTTATCTGATTCGTCCAATTTTACACCATAAAAAAGTTCTGAGCACGCCTTTCGAAAATCTACCATTATCTGGCCTGTATCTGACATTGTGAAAAGATATTAGATGGCAGGTTTATGAACACTCCAATTGCTTTCTATCGTATGTATATATTCGTTGCTGGAGCCGCTGTTACTGATGCTGGAATCGAAGACTTGACAGATGAAGGATATTTCTTGGTGAGAATCTGGACCGTGTTGCAAGTATAGATAAATATTGAATATTAAATACCAGTGACAAATTAAATTATAAAATAGGCAATTAAAGATACGCGTGTATAGAAATGAAGCAATTGATGATCGTTGAACGTGAGGATGAAGCAGAAATAGGACACATTGATAGCAATTATCATTTCTAGTGCATTTAAAAACAGGAAGGTTGTGTCAAATGGCAATAATCATTCTTGCTTTATTTGACAAATGTATTGTTCATGAAACGCTCCTACCTGCCATTTGTAGAGATTGTTTGGAAAACTTCAGACTGAAAAGAGAAAGAACATCCATCGCCAACATGATTGTGCTCTATGCAATATTAACCAGCCTTTCGAACCATTTCAAAGCCTTGAAAATGTTGATTCATGAAAAAAGAAAGTCTATTTAGATTCTAACTCGAATTCTAGCACTCTAGGGACCGCTCGTACACCTAAAGCATGTGTTATCATTCTTGAAGCGACAGTAACTGTCGTTTTGGGTCTTCTAGTTACAGTTTGGCTGGTCCTTGGCAAGATTGAGGTAGTAAGACGTGCCTTCGAGTTTTGTGTATTGAAGATAGGAGAGTACACGGTCCTATGGCTGTTCGAGCTCGTAGATACACTGCTTCGGAATGATTTCATGATTTCGGCAGGATGAGGTCTCCTCCCTGGTGTTGACTTAGGCGATGAAACTCGTGACTGATAATTGCTTAATTGTCTTTTTGGGCTTGAAGTTGACCGTGTGGCTCTTGACTCCTGATTGCTCTGCAACCTCAAACATGAATCGCTGCTATCATTTTTGCCGTCTCTACTTCTTCTCGAAACACTAGGCAGGTTGCGATGCGCCACAGGGCTTTTATAACTTTGAGAATTGAAGAGGTCCACTGTCGTGTGTGGAGCTCCGCCATCGTTTCTACCTTCGAATGGTATCGGTTTGCCTCCATTTTCTGAAACAGTCATTCTCTCGAGAGACTCCTCATGAGTCTCAGAAGTCTCTCTAGACTCTATTGCTTCGCAACTGCGACCGGGTGTTTTATTTTTCTCGGTGTTAATGACTTCTCCGGTGGTAGCCTTCGTGGTGATTGCTCCCGTTTCCTCCCCCTCTTTGCTCAAATCTCTTGAATCTTCACTCCCAATAAGTAGATCCAGCACGTCGTTCTCGATTGTACTTGGTAGCTCGATTGGGACCGCGGCGACAATGACACCTTGAGAGTTCTTCTTCTTTCTCCCTTCAAAGATCTCTCTGGCATCAACCTGCGCGTCAACCTTCTTCTCGATGAGTACCGGTGCACTAAAACCAACTATGACCCAATCGACTCGACCCCCAGGAAGAATATTTTTTTCCCATTCTACTTTATTTCGTGTGGTATTCTCAGCCCGTGGTCGAGTTCGAAGATCAAAATTGCACTGTTCTCGCTTTCTGTCCCGAGAAAGTACGTTGTTGATGCTGGCTGCAGCGCATTAGTAAAGGTCTCCCAGACTGAAGCCATTCTCACTTTGCGACATGTTCTTTGTTGATATTGATATGCGTGGCTTTTCCGATTATTTACTTGCGTGGCTGAGATGGCTTCTTCAGACCTCAAATTTATGGTTGAGTTCTCGATCGACGATACGAGTGTTATAATGGAAAATGCGCAACTTCATATGAGGGATGAAAATTGAAGTATGAATAAAAATCACAGTCGTTTCAATGAATGTTTGTGAGACCTGAGGAGAGATATATTCTCTTTTATTTTACGAGAAAAGTGTAAAAAGGTGAATTTAAGACATGCGTTTTGGATTTCCAATTTTGAGAGAATGTGAAGCATACGACTGGATCAAAATGGAAGGTGCTCCTAAACAAGAATAATTCGTTCTTTCTCGAGGATCTGTATGATAGGAGAACTGATAAAGAGTCTTGTAGTAAGTAAGATGTATTGGGTATTGGTTTAAGTTGTACTTTGCGAAGTTGCAGATGATGAATGAGAAAACGAATGGTGTTTGGGAAGTAAGAGAAAGAAGCAATGGAGGAACTTCACCAAAAAGGAAACATACTTGAAAATCATCATGAAGCTTTGTAGCTAGTTCTAGAATCTGAAATAATAGCCATATATGCATTCAAAGAGCAACTTGGTATCTTAATGATAAATGTATTGTAGATTGGACTTATCATGTGATTCCATATTTGTCATGTGATAAGCAAAAGCACAAAGCTAATATCTTGAGCTATCATCTTGCTGCATCAGTATGAACAATCAAAATATCTCAAGTAACGCGCCATGATAGGAAATAAAGGAATTCAACATGGCATCTTCAATATCGCACAACTGCTCAGTGCCATGAATGCTGTTGACGCTCAACTGCAGGATCTCTCATATGTTCTTCCCAGAGGTGTGAAGCTCGTCGCAGAATGTGACATTTGGGGACTTGGAGGTGTACCTGTTAGGATACAGTGGATATCTGAGGTTTAAGAAAAAGGAAGCATTTCAGGATCCTCGCGGTCATCATATTATAGAAGGGAAGGAACTGGCTTGCTTTTGATTCCAGACTTCCCCACTAGGGTTACTACGACAAGGCTACAAAGGCACTCAGTGATTAAAGCTAAAAAATGTTGTGCGGATCGGGAGTGCTTTGCCATTGTTCTTCAACACAAGAAAGCGTGCTTTTGGGCAAGAAGAGGCAGAGAGTAGGCGGAGGAAGGGATGTTTCTGATTCTTGTGAAGTCCGACCTATGGATGTGAGGGCGGGAACTACAAGCTCCTGACACCAAGCAGATCTGATATTAAACTTTGTCAGTTATTATTGTGAATTCAGCATATTCGCGAATCATTTTCGGATTCTGGCAGATTTTATTACTCTCGAGTGAGGGTGAGGTAATGCAAGGCGGTTCACTCGTTCACTCTTGCTAGAATTGATGTTCTTGCCTTATTTTTTTGCATCGGTGTCTTAGAGATGTGATTGAGCATGCGTTCTTCGGCCCCAATTATGGACTCATCACTGGTGCTGTCATGGGTTTCCTGGCTTGGCTCAGCCATCAAGATGATGTTTGAGCTCGAGATATGATACCACCACCCACGGGTAGAGTTGGGAACGCGTCTGGTTCAAGCATGTTACATACTCAAAAGATGATCGCGTATTATGCAAGTTTTAATTGGTTTTCCGGATCCTTAACAACGTAAGCCTTCTGGTTTTAAAGCATGGATCAATCCGCTGCGTTATAATTACCCAAATGAGAATATGAGATTCTGATAGGAAAACCCTTGTTCGATAGCATATATCATTGCCACCTGCCTTTGCACAAATATTATCCTGCCATTACGAATCCTTCATCTCGGTGCACTTACGTCCGCGTGTTTTCTTTCTGATACACGTAATCTTTTTCAGTATTTTCCGCCCATATTGAGAATGCACTTGCTCATGTGCTGGCCTCTGATATCAATTCGCGTACAGAGGCCACGTCTGATATCTATATAACCATCTGTTACTGAATTTAGGAGCTCGGGGACATGGCCTTTGAAGTATGGTCATCTTCCTAAATTTCAGATTCATTATTGACCTAACTAAAACCATGTTGCCGAAGTCTCAGCAAACAATTGCTTGCCACCTTCCGTTCTCAACCCCTAACGGCTTTTTCCCAGTCTATCGGTACCGATCGCCACCTCAATATATTAATTCCTTTGCCACTGGTAGACATAGTGAAATTAATCTCCTGCCAATCTCGCCTCGATTCCCTACACACAAACTGCAAAAGTCCTGGTAATACTCAACCCCGAAGTTTCATTGTTGTAGTTTCAAGTGGAGTATCGCTCATAAAATGCCTGAGCCTTAGGCACAGAAGGAAAACGCTCTGAATTACAGTACTGAACATCAGACGAAGGATCAACCCCCCCTCAGTTACCGGCGGTATTACCGCCACAAACTAACCCTCGCGGCTCCGCCCTCTTCCCTCTCCTCAAAATTCGACGTCTTGTGACTGAACGAACTTGCGTTACATTCTCCGATGCACCTAATTGACATCAAGAGCCTCGACAGAAGCTACCAAGGTACATACATACCTGCATCCCCCACCTCGGAGGCCCCCAATCTTGCAGTGCCAAGCCCGAGGCCCGAGTAGGTACGTATATTCCCAGCGCTAACCATCACGTGTATGGTCATGCCACGAAGGTACATTCGAAGAAACCCCCAAGCAAAAACTAGCAAGGGAAAATTAGATAGTTGGTAAGAAAGAAGGCAAGTCGTCCGGATAAAGTTCTCAGGCTATTTATCTATAGCCTTAACTTTAACATCCCTCCACTCCACTCTCCGCACACCCCCGTTATCCCCTGGAGCATTTCCGTTGCGTACCCACACCACGCATCGAAAAAAAAACTTAGGTACAACCCCGGCCGGCAATCACCGCCCTGGGGATGAAGAAACCAGGATGAGACTAGGATGCAGATGAACGCAACCTTGTTACATACACATTACCACGTTCAAATCGAGGGCTTGCAGACGAGAGTTCCAGCAAAGTAACAAAACGGTATCACAGAATATGTACCCCAGAAATGCCTCGTTTTTATATCGTATTTGTGTCACTTGCGGATGTACGCTGGTTGTACAAAATACAGAGAAAATGCGTTCCTGGGGAAATGCGGGGTACATGTACACCACGTTACTAGCGTTTACTGGGACTGTACGTTGCTCAGTGTATTTTTCCGCCTATCCTTCTTATCATTCATTTCTCCATCGAGAAAGACTAATCTGGGAGAATCATTGGATGACTGTTACGATTCAACCTCTTCTTTTGATAGCCAATCAATAGCCTGACAGATTCCCCATAAATAACCTTACTTTAGCCTTAAGCTCCGAACTTCGCTTTCATGCTTAACCTGCTCGTTGCCTGCTTGGTTTCTTCAAGGGTTATTTATACAAGCATTTCAACCTGTCAAATTTCTTTTGATTGATTAGCCTATCCACCTAAAATACGACAGGATGCAATGTACGATCTTGGTACTCCGACGAACATCCATTGCATATCTGACAATTCACGCCCCCATTCTCGCATGAAATTCTCAGTTTTGCGAGTCATTAGGTGCTGAAGGTAGCAGGTTATGATCGGCTTTGTCATATTATAGGGTTCATTTCAACCAGTGAGAAGTGTTACCAAAGTTTGGATATGGCTTTTATGTGACAGAGATTATAGACGTGATAACGCGTTACTTAGTGCTATATGTCTCGTGATTCTTCTGATGACATACGAAGTATCATGTTACTATTTGTTATGCTAGATGAAGGAATTTTTGCGAAGTTGTAATGAAAACCATGTTTGCTAGTCTCACCGGTGGATCTCATTATTCCGAGTACCAATCAGGGAGTTTGTTGTCTTGCAAAGAGCTTCCGAGAAGAAAATTTGCAGATATGCTCCTCGATCTCTCAGAAGTGCATGCCATTATCGATATTGCTTGTACTCTAAGTTTCTTGTGGATCGACAAGGTGTAACACTTCATCTGGTCTAAAGTCTGTACCTTTATTTTGGCCCTATTTTTTTCTCCTGTCACGGGCTGGTATCGGGCTGGCAGGAAAGACTCCCATAAATCGTAGTAGCATTATCTGCGCCATCTTCTTCCTTAGTCGTCGGATGATGATTGCGAAGATTGAAATATTCCCAAGACATCCCAATCTTATAATGGCTCTCAGCGCTCATCTCGCATGTTTACATGAAGAACAAAGCTAAGCAGGTGCAAGCTCTTCTCGACGCGTCTCGTATGGCCCAGATGGGATCAGTGGAGATTTGTATGATTCGTTCCTGGCTCTCCTGCTATTAACTGTAGGCAATATCCCAGTCTTATGTGCCCTATATTATTGCTACTATCACTGCCGAAACCTGGGGATCTGCTAGTAACAAACGTGGTACAAAGAGATCGTACTTATATCCAACATGCCGATTCGCCAATGATATTCCCGCGCGTTTCGGATGTCAAGCCACAATATGTGACGCGCCTCGTTTCGTCTTTGTAGAAGCCATACCGACGCGCGTTATGCTTGGCCTGAAAATCTACTACTTTCGCGAGTATCAAATTGTTTAAATTGCTACAAAATAGGAGCAGAGGGTTAGGGAATGATAGTACCAGCTTGCGTGTAATGTCCTCATTCTCTCAGATCTTCGAGATCTACAAGATGGCCCCGACACCGAATGTTCTTGCTGGCTCGGCAAGGTAGTGCCTTGTGATAGGTATAGTTCAGGCTCACTGATGGCCCGAGCATCCCACAAAATGTTCTCCCCAGCCATTATTGCTAGAATTATGTGGGTTTTGTGATACGCCACCCCCTCATTCTGTTAGGACGTTCGCATAATGCACGGCTGCTTTTTCTAGTTCGTTCCACTAGATATTAAGTTTGGTTAGCTAGAAAATTGTCCGATATTTGAAGGACCTAATGGAATGACATTAGTGCAGAACATGCAAGGCTAGTGCTCTGACTTTAAAACCAAATTAACTCACACTCAGGGGAGGCCGGTATGCACCCAGAGCATACTGACGTACTAGAAAATAGGTCAGTGCTGGTAGAAAATTATGTTAGTGAGAGACTCTAGCGCCGCTGTGCTTTTTGAGAACATGTTGAACCAGTTGAACCTATGTATTAAATGTTATTGAGTGATATGGAAGGTTTACGACACGAATACTACCGAAACGATGTGAATTACTGCAATAGGAAAGGTCTTTCTAAGTGAGAATTGAATGATTCAGCAACTGCGTATTTCACTCCACTAGAAGCATATCTCATGTTGAGCCAATCAATGTGATTCATCTGATAGTAAATCGTCTCACTCGACCTAGACAAATTCACCCCAAGTGGCAAATACTACCTTCGTCCTTGGAAGTAATATTACTCCCATCCCACATACTACCCTTTCATGCATGCGGGTATTTGGGAACTCGGATCCATATCATAAACCAATACTTGATCAATACTAGAGGCCTACCAATTCATGCCACTCTCGTCTGAATTTAAAGCTTCTCGAGTAGGTGCCTGACCACTCAAGCAGTAAATATCAGGCCCTTTGTTATTCGTAAGGGTCTTCGCATCGTACTTGAATTGATCTCAAAGCTTGCGATTAGATCGAATTCCAGGGACAGCTTACAACGGCGCCATGCTGACTGTATTTCCGCATTAGATCGGCCATGCCTACAAGGACTCGGTCAAATGGCAGATCAATATCGCGAAGATCCCGTATGCTTCAAGGAGAAAGATCTTTGCTCTGGTGATAGGGTTCCCAAAATTCAAGGTGGCGGAGTTGACGACTACGAATTCTACCACACTTGATCGTATGTCCCCCAAGCTGTCAGATTGATGTTTGCATAGATAGCTTTCTGGTTTCGTCTCGGAGGTCGATCATGTCTATCAATGCCAATATTTTCCTGCACGGATAGAGTCGTATGTATCTTGGTACCGAACAATTCCGAAAGCGTTCCATGTATACATTGATATCCGAAGTCCAATAATACATCGGGACAACCGACCACATGTTCTTTGAGAGACCCATGAATTATCTTGTGGCAAGCGCCACTGAGTATATTGGGGACTTCGAGGGGTGTACCACATATCTCGGCACTATGCAAGCGGGTATACTTCGTTCAATGGTGGGTGGGTCTCCATGTGAGATTGTGGTGATACGAAGATACTTGTGCAAGATTCAAAGCTTTAATGTGTTCATTATTGCAATCCAGTTGGGTGCTTGGGCAAATTGTGCGTTCCATTGGAAGTTTGCATATTGTGAAAGATGCTTACCGGATGAAATTAATTTAGATGCTAAGATGACATCCACAAGATAGCTAAGAAAATTTTGGGTTTGTATTATAGTACTCACTTGAACCAATTGACAAGTCAAGCGTTGTACCCGAGGTAACTGAAAGATTTGAATCCTAGTAGCAATATCTTTCCGGCAAGTAGCTTGGTGGAGACTTTGTGCATCGGATTGTGGCCCCCCTAAAGATCGAGCTACCTTTGTATCTCTTGCCGGCTGATTCTTCAATTTCAGTATCGCTAAGTAGGGATTTCCTAAATCTCGTATGCACGTATGTCATATCTCATCTCAAGAGATAGCTCGATATAGTTCATCCGTCAGGGGATATTGCATATCGAATATGGTTATCGCGGTGATGAAGATATTCCCACGGTGGGCTTTCTGCAAAAGGCTGTGCGGCGGTTTAACCCCGCTTCGCGTCATGATTTCCCCAGACTTCGGGAATGACTGTGAAAATAGGCTGAATATAAAGAAGGGATTAAACTGCATGTTTGCAAGATTGGCGATATACTTCATTTTCTTAATTTTGTGTGTGTGAAAAGATAGATTGGCGCTGCATCAATAGAATTTATTTTCACTTTATCTCAAGCACTCAATGGATTAAGATTAAACTTTGCTTACATAAGGACCCGAGTGACCCTTGACAGTTTGAGTCAGGAACAATTAAGAGACCCCCTTGTCATTCTCGCTTATGCACGTCGTCTTGCAAATCCAATCAAGACCTTCATTTGTCCTCTGCTTTTAACTTACGGAGTCTCGGACTCCGTAACACGTTACATATACGATTGTTTTTCTTGACTACAACACCCTTATGTGGTGATATCAAACCAATCCCTTATGCAAAATACAACCAACATATGGAATTAAAGCCACCATCGATTATTGGAACACACTTTGGGCATCCCATCCTACGCTCCTTTCATACCCTTTCTGCCTTGACCAGATCTTGTACAACTTTGGTCATTTCCCCATATTTTTATATGCAAAGTAGAAGCACTCTGCAATGTGATCCATCTTACAAGGAATCTTACCTCTTCATCACCCCGCCAGGTCCATTCTCTCCTTTACTATGCAGTAGCCAGCCCTTAATATATTCGTCGACAATTCTGGGATCGATTCCTTCTCCATTCGGCCGGTTGCTTTTTACCGAACCCCAGATTTTTATATTCTGATTCTGAACCTGCATAAACATTCACAGGGGTTAAGTTGATGGAAAGCTGTGATATTTGCAGACACCCCTAAGCATATCGTCTGATATGCCAATCCATGCCGCGAATCGTCCTCTACCGGCCATTGCAGGACGCCGCTCACGCCTCTTGTTGTACACCCATAAGCGTGTTCACGTGGCACGTAATCAATAATGCTTTCGTAAGGACATAGTATAAGCCAAATCAACAAAAGCCTTAACATTCGCACTCTAAGAGCCGAGCTGGGGTTGCACATAAAATGTTTTTCGAGCTCTGATTTTCTATGAAAACCCTTACCTTCAAAAACCCTTCGTCTTATCTAACATCATCCATGCCAAGACAAATTTCATGAGACCACACCTACATGCCTTACATCAACGCAATGTCAATCTCATCTCAAGGAAATTCTCCCAACTCTACCTCCGGAAGTGTTAGACATTTCTCAATGTCTCGGGACAAATTCGACATCGATATTGCCTCGCCTCAACTTTCTATCGTAACCAATAGCGATTTGACATCTCCAACCTCTCTGAAATCACCAAATGGCCGTCGTATCGCGACTTTTTCCCGAGAAGGTATTTTGGGGTCCGCGCAAAAAGCTAGGAATTTATCACAATCTTCAGCAGATAGAGAATCCATCACAAATGCACTACAAAGCAGACAAAATCATAATCAAAATCAAAATAGAAATGGAAACGGAAACGGAAATGGACATGGAAATGGAAATCAGAACGGGAACAGTGATGATGGAATCAATCCGTTAAAAAGAAGGAGTACTGATGCTGGCATCGATTACCCCAGACGAAGAGCTACTATAGCTGTGAGTATTTCATTTTGGATCACACCAACAACTCTAATGAAATCTAGTGCGAGATATGTCGATCTCGAAAATCACGATGTGATGGCACCAAGCCTAAATGCAAGCTTTGCACAGAATTGGGTGCCGAATGCATTTATCGTGAACCAGGAATCAAACTCGATGCCGGAGATAAACTGATATTAGAGCATCTTACTCGGATTGAAGGATTACTTCAATCAACTTTAATCGGCCAAACATCCAATCTTGCTCTTTCAACCGGATCGCCGTCTATCAATGGAGGAACCACAACCAGTGGTGAGGACTTATTAATGGCAACCAATGGTGGCTTTGTCAATATGATACCTGCCACAGGTCTTGGCACGTGGGCTATCCCCACCAATATCTCCACGATGCCGAAAATTCACACCAACGCCGCACTACACTTACTCCAATGGCCTTTAATTCGCGATTTAGTATCACGACCTTACGATCCTCAGATTCTTCTTCAGCTCGAAATGGCCAGAGAGCCACTTGCTTTGTCCAAAGCGCCGTGCTTAGATTTATCAAACACCTCTGCATATATCGAAGCATTTTTTGCTAAAGTGAATGTCTGGTATGCATGCGTCAATCCTTTCAATTGGACGAATCACTACCGCGTCGCTCTATCCAATGGTTTTCGCGAAGGTCCGGAAAGTTGTATTGTGCTTTTGGTATTAGCATTGGGCCAAGCCAGTTGCAGTGGGAGCATATCCAGAGCAGTAAGTTCTGAAGATCCCCCCGGGCTTCCATATTTTGCAGCTGCTTGGGCACTTCTTCCAAGTTTGATGACGAGAAACACGGTATTATCAGCTCAGTGCACGGTTCTTGCTTCTGCATATTTATTTTATCTTGTAAGGCCATTGGAAGCATGGACCTTATTGAGCAGTACAAGTACAAAACTTCAACTCCTCTTGAGTGCGCCTGGAAGGATACCAGCAAGCCAAAGAGAATTATGCGAGCGAGTGTATTGGAATTCTTTGTTATTTGAAAGCGATCTGTTAGCCGAGTTGGATCTACCACATTCTGGGATAGTCCAATATGAAGAAGTAGTAGGACTCCCAGGAGGTTTTGAGCAAGAAGATGAGGATGGAGTGGGTCGCGATGAGCTTTGGTATTTTTTGGCCGAGATTGCTCTACGACGTTTATTGAACCGCGTCAGTCAACTGATTTACTCGAAGGATTCGATGGCGTCGACATCGAGCTTGGAGCCTGTTGTGGCCGAGCTTGATTTTCAATTATCACAGTGGTATGAAAGTCTACCTCTACCATTACAGTTTTCGTATACCCGAACCCCTCTTGCGGATCCGGTCCAAACCGTATTAAGACTGCGGTACTTTGCCTGCCGGACAATCATTTTCAGGCCCTATATTCTTGCAGTGTTGGATAATGAACAAGCGGCAATGGATCCATCAGTTCGAGAAAACTGTCGGAAATGCCTTGAAGCTTCCATTAGACAACTAGAGCATATCAGCGCACAGTAAGTTTTGTCTCTTCGTGGTCTCGCCGCGATAGTCTAGCTAACCTCATTTTCAGCCATGCAGGTCACATGCCATATCTCTGGCAAGGTGCGCTCAGTATTGTCTCGCAAACGCTTCTCGTAATGGGTGCCACTATGTCCCCCTCCCTTTCCGCGATCATCAACTCACTCGTCATCCACGATACAATCGACGGTATAATCAATGACGTCGTCATGGAAATAGAAAGATATGCCCACTTAGCACCCAGTCTAAGTCTCTCTGCCGAGATAATCAGAGAAGCCGAAATTCGAAGACGCAGCTACCTTGGCGGTTGAATGTAGATCCTTCCAAATCACACATTATTGTTAAAATCGACACCACAAAAAATGACGACAATCAGCACAATGACGATGATCCCCAACGCATTACGAGTGGCAAGGGGCAAAAAAGGGCCGAATCTTCAGTAGTCTCAGAAGTTATCATACATACTATTTTCGGGAAGATGAAGACTGGGTAAAGCCACGATATATATGAAATTGGGGCTGTGGTTTCAGTCCAAGAGACTGCAAGATGAGGAGATCGAATTCTTTTTGGAGTTCCTCGAATTCTCTACGTGGCAGCTAGGCTCCTCGGGCCTGAATGCCTAAACAGCCAATTTGAGTGGTTGAGAACCACCCCGCATTTTCCAGGGTTATGATTTTGGACGTTATGTTGGATGGGTCCTACATGTACACTGCCACATGTTGTATATAGTTCTAGTTTTTGAAGTGGCTGGTAACTAGTGGTAGTCATGCTGTACAATGCTTGCTACTTCTTTTTATTATTATTCTATATTGTAATCCTTGTGTATATTATGCATTGCGTGGGATCGTGGAATTTTTTCATTTCAGAAGTCACTTGACCAGGGCATTATATTAGAAAAGCATGAGATATTAAGAAAGAATCAACTCATATTTGGAATTTTAATAAAAAGCGCATACCTGAATTTGTACTCACTCCGGATTCCTAAAAATCCTTTGACATGCAAGATAATTAGTGGCCTGCGTATTAAGATTGTACGATGACTCGGAGATACCTGTCTACTACTCGATTAATAGTTGTACACCATCCTTTTGTCTGCCGTATACTATCATTCAGATCTTGATTCATTAAGGGTTCGGCAACAGATAATCTGACACGAATGCTGCCTTGAAACTCTTACCATCATCCTGTTGGTCCCATCATATGACCATCATGTGACCGTACACATTGATGTTCTTTTAAACCAATTGCTGTTTGTTGATATGTGTTGAGATATTTGAAATGACCCTCGCACTTCTAAGTACTGCTTGTGCTATTGGAAGTATGGAAGCCCATCAGCAACAGTTGCGACGTTGGGATTGACCTGAATCTCTTAAACAAACATACATACAATCTTAGCAGTCACGAGATAGCGACCACTCCATATGAAATCCCTTCATCTCGCGAGAAACAACACACTCAACGCCAATATTGTACGCAAATGTTGCGACTAATTAATGAGGCATGGCATCTAGTCGGCACACTGAGAAGGAACATCACACCAAGACATATACAGAAGTCGAGTAAAATATCTCCTGTCCAAGCCGAAGTTGTTGATATAGAGGAGGTAAGATTGTATGCCCCAAAGCGCATAGGCAAGAGACTAGCGAAACACATCAGAGGTAAATTTCTCGTGCCGATTTGTGATCCCACTGTAAGTAGTTTGCTTCGCTCAGGATCTTGAAGAAAAGCTCATATTGCGAAATTATTGCTGTCTTTATTTCAGAACCACATACCCAGATCACGAGATGGACTAAAACAATCTATTACTGTTTCGGCTAGAGAAGCTAATCCACCATCCTCTAACGAGCAAACATCAACGGGAACGATCAGAAAAGAGAACGCGAAAGAAAAGATTTATTCCAAGAGAGGATAGAAACACTGCTTCGGGAGATTCCTTGATATGTCTACTAACCTCTAACTAATCAGGCAAAGATCTTCAACTTTCGATTAAAAAATGCCTCTTTACTTAGCTACTACACTCCAGATTGTATGTGCAAGCAATGACATATGTACAATAAGAGTTCCGCGATGACAATCTAGTTGCTATTATCTCTGAGTATCTTTCCACAAAGCTAATTATCTATCGCATTGGTGACATTACTAAGTCACACAGACTTATGGTACCAAGATTTCCGATCATATTATGCCCATATTTTCCAGACCCCAAAGCGTGATAAACTCTACTACAATTGCATCGTTCAGGAAATCCTTCTCGTCTCAAATCATCTTCGGCAAGAAGTTACCTAACTACCACTCCCTCAATTTGATAATCGCTGATAACTTCCACTTGGCAGTTTTCAACTCCCAATCATCTTTCTCACCATCTTATCAATTCCACCACTGGCCGATTTCTGGACGTTGGCAAACCTCATGACACCACAACTCTCACTCTCAACATGCTGTACTAACCCACTCAAAACAATAAATTCTCTACCACAGCTTGGACCTGGGCATCTGTACATTCTCTGATCATGAACCGGACTTCTCAAATGACCGTTCAGTCCTTGTAGAGTGTTGAATCCGCGATGGCACATAGAACATTCATAGTAGAAGCCATTCCAAGAACGCTCAGTGGCGATATTGGTAAAGGAGGGGGAACTATATTCCATAAGAGGTGTAGTAATTACGTGGTTCTTGTCTAGACAACGGATCGCGGCATTGATCCTTTCGCGGTTCGAGCCAGAGGGACAACGACTGGATTCGAGATGAACGATGAGAGCTGATACGGTTGGATATTGAGTGGGACAAAGAGGACATTTCATTGGGAATCCCTGGTGGACTTTAGAGTGTTGATGCTGTGAAGGTCAGTTTTCAATCTCAGACTGAACATTACCGGGCTGTAAAACTGTCAAAAAGACACTGGATGTCCAGTAAAAACATACCTGCATCAGATTGTTTTCGTTCATGAACATTCGATTGCATGGCGTACAATAACGATGACCATGTTGGGAGACGTGATGGTTTTCGCGAGCCACGCTAGACCAGAACCAACTATCACATCCACTACACTCGAATTCAGGTTCTGCATTGCTGGAAGAATATCCATCATCAGAGGGTTCGAAGTTACGATGTGCGGAGCTATTCTCAACGTGCTGATTGTAGCTATTTTCGCCATTGAAATAACGTTCGCAAGGGTCGCAGTAATACATTCTGAGTAGGACTGAGATGGAATTAGTGGGGACGAGGAGGAATGTACGCTTTTCAGTCGCCTAGCGAGTAAAAAGTCTTGGAAAAGTTCGAGCTGTGAGAAGGAATGTGAGACTTCAAATGAGAAGATGTCACAAAGGAATGGTTGGTAATAATTATTTGAAAGCGGAAGGAAAGAATCACAGATGGAAAGAGTTACCAAGCAGAGATCAAAAATCGGCTTTTGCACCTAGACTAAACTTTACACTTTCACGAACGAAAGCTGAATACCCATTTCCAATCAGACAATCATTACATGAACTTAAAGTCGGATGGCGGAATGGTAGGAGGATACTTGCATCTGCAGCTAGGTAGCCAACGTAAATAGGGAAGCGAGGTGCATTTGTTCCAGAATTCCTGCAATAAGCATAAGCCCACTGGCTTAAAACTATGAAGGGAAAGTACACTGAGTGCTGCAATCTCATAATTCATGAATACATCTCAATCTCTCAACAATGCAGGTTTACTTTCCCGGCCACCATATTGACCGCGACCAGCCTGCAGTAACGACTCAGCGTGCGATGCAGCAATGGTACGAATAAATAAATATTTCACAGAAACTGACCACCCTCCAACCCATAAATAATCCGTTGAACAAGTATTATAGCTCGTTGTCTCCCCGCCTCAAAGACCCATTCTCTGATGGAAATATAACACATAGGCCATATAACCATATAGCCTATCCTAGTATAGGCCCCTAGAATCCATACGCCCTACAAGACACCTTCCGCAGAAGCCTTTGCACGTTGCTTTTCCCGCAGGTTCTAAAACATTCATCATCAAACCCCGAACTCACCCAGAGAATAACACTATAACCAGCAACACATGAAATCAAGAAGAGTAAAATGGTAACACCAAAATCCTTATACAATATCTATACTATAGAGTTACAATTTACTTGACCCTCTTTCCCTTCCCATATCCCTTCCACCCAGCCCTTTCCCAATTCTGTCCAGTGCCGTCCATCCATTCAACCATTCCTCCTCCTGAAGTACATTCTCAGGTCGCAATTTTTGAAAAATTCAACATCTTTTCAGATCTAAACCACGCACGTTCACGCCCGCATTCACGCTATCAAATATGTTCCCCATGTATGACAATCACTGCTCACTCCACTCCCCATCCACTCGTGCCCCGAACAAAACAGACGTAAAAGAAATGGAATCACACGCATCAGCAATAAAAATCTCAAATAGGTAATTAAAGAGCTTGCATGCAATTTTAAGCATTCTAGGTAATAGAAAGGGGAACAGGGAAATAAGAATATTAAAGAAAAGAAAAGAAATCTACTCGATTCTCTTTTTTCCTTCCTCGGCATTCGCGTAACGAGCTGTGCTCAATCCACGTTCGTGCTTAGTTGCTACTAGCCCACCGACTAATTTGTCTTTGCGTGCGTTGCTTATTGCTTCATTATAGCCTTCTGTAGCCCAGGGGCGAGGATTGAGCTTGGGCCAGTTGACCTGTAAAGAAAGTGTTAGTAGAATTGCTTGAAGGAAAGAAAGAGACGATAAAGTGTAGTATCAGGGGTAGAGAAGGGAGAAAAGAGTGTGTGAGAGGAACATACATATAGCATTCCGTTGCCGTAAACAAAATTAGCACACCATGCTCCTACTACCAACCAAACCATAACCCAAATTCTCAACGGTAATACAGCGGCGTTAGGTAGACGAGGGGTGAAGAGGCCAACAAAAACGAAGAAGATACTGAAGGCAAGGATATAAGGGATGCTTTGAATGAGTAATGGTCTCCTATCGGCAGTAATAAGATGAGAGCCAATGTTTGCATTACTAGGAAGATAGTAGCCGAGGAATAGATCAAATGAATCCTGCTTAGGTCCGTCTAGGAAGTTATTTCTCACGTAACGCGTGATAGAATTTTGGAGATCTTGAAGAGCACCTGCTTTGGTTCTCACACCTGTCCTTGTGAAATCTGTTTTGAGGGCGCCTGTTCCAGAATAGGATTTGGAGACGACATCAGCGTTGTCGGCCCAAAGTTTACGGAAAAGAACTTCAAACTCGGGGTCGGCTGTTGTAAAGGTCTCGCCACGAGTGAGAACACCAAGATCTGTTAACTGTCGATTTAGAGTCCATCGGCCGAGCATGCTTTGGACAACATTTGTTCTATCAAGGCAGTCCATACAATTTGTGCGGACAACACTAGTCTGGTGATTGCGAACTTCGAGGCGACCATCAATATCAGCTGGCATATCAATTCCACGGAAATACTGTTGTGCTTCAAGGGCAGAATTGAGTTGGTCAAGCAATAATTGTGCTCGGTGCCATTTTAATCCTTTGGTTTCGTTGTGAAAATCGAAGTATACGTAGTGCAGTCTGTCCATCTCTTGTCTCTTTCCACTAGGCTCAACCACCCGGAATTTCTCATCTGTAATTTGATCACTTTGTCTGCTTTCAGTTGGCGTCGAAACCAAAATCTTTACCATCTGTTCATATGCTTCTTTTACCCGCTGCTCGCGTCCTTTTTGGTTTACCAAATTTACCAAATAATTGTCCCCATAAATTCGGATCTGCTCATCGAAATGCGCCTTAGCGGCAGGAACGGCGCTTTCTACTCCTCGAATCTGAAGTTTTGGTGTATAATGTAAAGTGTTGACTTCTGCCCAAAATACTGGGACACTTCCTCTGGTTTGTACATATGACAATATCTGCATCTCCTTGTCGCCTGGTCCTCCAACTTTGCCATTTTGCATTCCAGCACCTCCGGCAAATCCACCAAGCCCACTGCTGTTATCATTCAGAATGATAATTTGCTCCGTCTCATTGAAATTCGAAACATGCCCATCCTCATCCACACCTCGAGAAAAGTATCTAGTTCCAGCTCGGTATCTGGATCTTCGGGTAACCAAGATAAAAGTCAATGGAGTAGATTTGACTTGAGTGTGGACGATCTCAAACATTCCAAACATAACTGGCAAGATATATGGATCCGCCGCTGGTTGTTGTCCATGTTGATGTCGAGACCCAGATGTTCGGAAATCTATTAAATCTGACTGTATAAATTTATTCCAAAAGAACCGGTCGTCTGCTCGCTTCCATAGAGGGGCTGATGTGTCAAGTTGCGATTGTCTCTGAAAAGTGTTGGTAATGTCGGAAGAATATGAAAAGTACATCGGTGCAGACTTGATGAAGATCTTGAGGAGGTTTAGGTAGGTATCTTCGTCTTGATCTCGAAGCGCTCGTTCTCGGAGAGGTAAGAATTCAGTTGTGATAATTTTAAACACCATATGCCCCTTCAGTCTTCCAATAGGTTGTGCCTTTGTAATTACAATAATGTACTTATCTAGGAAGAAATCAGTTCCAACTCCTGTATAATGTGGCATTGTAAATACCCAGTCGTAGTTTGATCATGCCCAAGATGCCAGCAATACTGGATACACGCTTTCCCCCCAAAAGTGCTCCATCATTAAGTCGTATATCTCCTGTTGGTCGATCAACTACGAGTGTTGGTGCTGAGGGTGAAGATGGTGATGTGAATGCGTAATGCGATGTTGAGGCATGGACGTTGATATCTCTAAAGGGTAAAGAACTAGCCATTTTGACTGATCTATCCTGTAGACAGTGTGTATCGTAGTTCTTCTATTGTCTGGTTCTCACAAACAAATTCCTCTGCTGGCGCGTACGATCTGATCTATAATTCAGTCAAGCTTGATATAGCTGTTCTCTAATTCGAAGCTCGGAGCCTCGCAATATCTAAAATTAACACTTGGTGGATACACCCTAGAAGCACCCCCTTGTTATTACTAATCTCGTCCCTCTCTGTCTGTTCCAGATCAATATCTAAAGTTTCAAAGTACGGAGGACAGAACTCTTCTTGATATTCATAATCACTTGAAATGATTAACAGATATAAAGGAGTAAGACATATTCATTAAAATTACTATATTTATTAATATAATTCTACATTACCCGGGTAGCATTGAAAAATTAGCTCCAGTTTTGACAGCTACTGATTCAGATACAGGTGTGAATCTAACATTGAATGATGAGCGTTTGATAGGCTGACGTTCAAAGAGCATCTAAACAATGCTCCACGTGATCATGATTGTCCCAGTAATCGAAGCGATTTAGGATCGTCGTCACTTTCCAGGTTGCGCTGTTTCTCAAGACCAAGCAAGATAGCATTTAACTTTATCTCAACCATTTCCGCCTTCCTCCTGCGAATTAAAGCCGCCTAAGTACTACACGAGCATATACAACTTGCCCAGCGATATATCCCATTCCATCAAATCCCATACACAACCACAACCACATTCACATTTCAACATGGCTGCTCGAGGTCCACCAGGCTCCCGTGCTGGAAACTCACGATTTGCGCAATTTAAATTGGTGTTACTTGGTAGGCTATTCCCATGAGTTTCTGATATCTTCATCAAATCAGTTGCTAATCTTTCATAATAGGGGAATCTGCCGTCGGAAAGGTATGAGCTACCGTTTGCTAGTTGGATTTATTCTAAATGCTAATATTCGGCATAGAGTTCATTGGTTTTACGATTTGTTAAGGTATTTCCGATCAGTTCCAAGCAATGGCATTATTTCAAGCTGACATATTGCACCAGGATCAATTCGATGATTGTGAGTAGCCTTCCAACAAATCTCGTTGCTATATCAAAAGCCTAGATACGATTCAAACAGGGGATATCGGATGAACAAAGACCACACCGCTGACCATACGATAGACCGCGAGAGTACTATTGGCGCTGCATTTTTAACTCAAACCATCTCCCTCGACGAACACACCACAGTCAAATTCGAAATATGGGACACCGCAGGACAAGAGAGATACAAGTCGCTAGCGCCCATGTATTATCGAAATGCCAACTGTGCTGTTGTTGTTTATGACATCACACAAGCTGTACGCTTCTCCGACTCTAAATTGGAAAGTACTTCGCTAACAAATGTGACAGGCCTCATTGGATAAGGCCAAATCTTGGGTGAAAGAACTTCAACGGCAAGCAAACGAGAATATCATCATTGCTTTGGCCGGAAACAAGCTCGATTTAGTTACGGAACAACCGGATAAACGTGCTATTACTACTGAAGACGCTTCGAATTATGCTAGAGAAGCCGGTTTACTATTCTTCGAAACTTCTGCTAAGACATCGGAGAACGTAAGGGAATTGTTCACAGCAATTGCAAAGAAGTTACCATTGGATCAAGCCGGTCCAAGAAATCCAAGAGCTGGTGGTCCAAGGGGAACTGGTGTTGATCTTAGACCCGAAGCGCCAGGAACACAAGCAGGGCCAGGATGTGCTTGTTAGAGAAACTTTGTGATGAATATGCGGTGGAGTATGGGACATATTGGGTGGAATGAACCTTTGATACCAAGAATGAGCTATTGTCGGGACTTTCCACAAATAGTGTTCCTTTTCGAACAGATTGCTTGGTTGAGGGTAGCATACATGTGGCCACTTCAACATTTACGAGAGCAATCGTTTTTTAATACCTTGATGTCTCTAAATTCTCGTAGGAAGGGGTTTGATATGCAGCAGATTTCTGCTTGCCAGGCGTGAGGGTTTTCCTTGTTTTTCTCCTTTTGATGAATTAGTTCTTCGGCATTTGGGATGTACGATATGCAATAGAACCATGCATTTAAAACAATATCTTTTTATTGCACAAGAATCTGTGCTTAGAGAATGATCACCATAGGAATTGTGTCAATACATATAAATAAATCAAAATTTTGACAATATTTCGTAGCCTTGCACATTTGGCTAATGTGAATTCCTACCCTGGGATTTTCTACATCATCAGCCAAAAAGTGGTGTGGTCCGAGCTTCTGTAAACTTGAAAGTGTTTTTATCTTGAATTGTGTAATTGGCAGAAGAGGACGCGCAGTTTTAACATCACCAACCTCAAAAATAACTTATCGCTCCACGCAGCCCGTCATGCTGCGAGTTGGTCTTCGATCTTCGAGGACGTTGGGTCTGAAATCCAACGTCGTGAGTCCTGGACGTCAATGGAGAGCACAAAATAGCCGGGTGAATTCGGATACTATGGTATGAAGCTTCAAGATGTTCTGTCTCGAACAATTAAGTAGTGATATGAATGCTGATAGTTTTTACAACTCTAGAGAAGTTATGCCGACAAACCAAGTATAGCAGACTCGAGACCTCCAGTACTTCCAGGATCTGCCAGCGCGGCTACATCTGAACCATTACCACCTGGAGCAATAGTAACATCAAATACCGCCCCAACACCAGCAACTCCAACCTCTACCACAATTTCTGCGGAAAATGTTCCTCTTACCCCCCCTCCTCCAGGAGTTAAGTCACCAGGGCCTCCCCCTCCATCTTTCATCCCACCACCTCCCGCACCAAAGCCCAAGAGACGCTTCTTCCGCAAGTTCTTCACAACATTATTTTTGTTAACAACATTGGGCTTCGGTGGAGGAGTTTACTATTCTCGAATCAACGATAATTTCCATGACTTCTTTACCGAATATGTACCTTTCGGAGAGGAAGCAGTCCTTTATTTCGAGGAACAAGAATTCAGAAAGCGTTTCCCTCTGATCGCAAACCGAGCTCCAAGGCCTTCAAGAGATACTGGCGAACAGGTCAAAATCCCAAGTCAAAGTGGCGTATCATGGAGGGTTGCCAATGAGAACAAGGAATCTACTGGACGACACACTAGCTCCGCTAAGGACAAGGCGAAGCCATCGGAAGCTGTTCAAACACCACAGGACTCAAAACCAGCTGATAGAGTCAAGGCTGTTGAGCAAGTTAAGAGTGAAAATGCACCAGTAAAGAACTCTCCGGCTCCAGCTGCTGCGCCTGCCGCTTCAGAAGTCAAGTCAAGCAATGTTCAAAGGGACCCAGAAGTCAATGAGCCATCTAGAGCATACAAGAAGATTGAGCGAATTGACCCAATTAATATCCCTAATGGAAACGAGCCTGTAGTTCAAGAATTGGTTAAGATTATGAATGATATCATTGCAGTCGTTAATGCCGACAATGCAAATGCTAGATTTACATCTACTATGGACAAGGCCAAGTCGGAATTGAACAGAGTTGGGGGCAAGATCTTGGCTATGAAGGAGGCAGCATTGAAGGAAGCTGACGAGAAGATTAAGTCTCACGATGGAGAATTCGATCGTGCTGCTATGCAACTCATGCAAAACTTCAAGAACCAGCAAGCAGAGCAGGAGATTCAATATAGGGCCGAGTACGAAGCCGAGCGCAAGAGAATTCACGAGAACTACGAGAAAAAGCTGAAGTCTGAGCTCGATCGCGCAAATGAGGTCAATGAGCAGAAGCTCAAGAACCTTTTGACAGAACAAGCAGTTGAACTCAAGCGTGCGTTCTTAGCTGATGTCAGAAATCGCGTGGAGGAAGAACGTGAAGGCCGTCTCGGCAAGCTTTCCGAGTTGACTAACACCGTCAATGATCTCGAGAAGCTTACTGGTGACTTTAATTCAGTTGTCGACGCAAACCTCAAGACTCAACATCTTCATGTTGCAGTTGAAGCCGTTCGTGCTAACCTCGAAAAGTCTCAAATTCCACGCCCTTTCACAAGAGAACTTGCTGCACTCAAGGAAATTGCATCTGATGATCCAGTTGTTAACGCAGCGATTGCATCCATCAACCCAGTCGCTTATCAAAAGGGTGTTCCAAGCTCAGCTGCCCTCATTGACCGTTTCCGTCGTGTTGCATCTGAAGTCCGCAAAGCTTCGTTGTTACCTGAAGAGGCTGGTATCGCTAGTCATGCTTCAAGTTACGTACTAAGCAAGCTTCTGTTCAAGAAGAAGGGTTTGGCTACTGGTGATGATGTCGAAAGCATTTTGACTAGAACAGAGACATTCCTTGAGGAGGGTGATTTGGATGGTGCAGCTAGAGAGATGAACGGATTAAAGGGGTGGGCAAAGACTTTGAGTAAGGATTGGTTGGGTGAGGTCAGAAAGGTCCTCGAGGTTCAGCAGGCTCTTGAGGTAAGTTTTACTTTCAATTTACCCTTCACACTGATTTGATACTTCAATTACTAACAATTCCCAGGTAATTGCAACCGAAGCAAGATTACAAAGTTTGAGAGTCGAATAGAGAAAAAACAAAATTCTTCCCTATAATTGATTTGTACATGAAGTTCAATGTTGGTGAGCAGAGACGATAGCCACATGTTGGTGGAGAGATCGGTCAGTCATTAATTTTGACTGTTTGTAGAAGTACGGATAGTAAAATTAGAATACATGTACTTTATTACTGCTGATATCATAGTGACGGGTTGACTTGGTGTCTCTGCGGTGAAGTGTGAGTTTGCAAACCATGGAATAGTATCAAACCGAGGCCATTAAGCTGGAGGTAGCAGCGAGTGCTGGTGTGACTGAGCTTTCCAATATTCACATCTAGCTCTCTGGTGTACTCGACTATGGTTCGGATGATCTTCGCTTTCGAGCAATTGTCGGTCGTCAGGATACCAATCATCCCTTCCTTAAACATACATTACGATGTCTGTTTCAATATCTACCTCGCACTCGTATCCCCATCCTATCAATCAGACTTCTAATTCACTGTTCATTATGACTATGCGTCTATACTGCTTGA